ATGTGGACGCACATTCCTGTACCTGCAACCAGAACTGTTTTTCACGCGGTCCAATGTGATCGGTTTGCTTTCATGGTTCTTCATGCTACCACCCCCAAACAGGTTTTCGCGCCGCTGTGCAGTCGCTTCCACTTGCGCTTGCTGTAACACTTTTGTTAAACAATACTTTTCTGCGGACTCATGCGCCTTTCCGTTCCTTCACCTTCCTTCTCGACGTGGGAATTGAACTAACTGAAAACCAATGTCAGAATGTCAGAGTGTGTGTGTGTGTGTGTCCACCTCTGTAACTAAGAGTTTCCGTTTTTCTCAACTTTTAAGTCGCAGGTGGCGTGACGGTCGATTTCCTAGTCACGTCAACGAAGCTAGGGAAATCGACTGGATGGAAGTTTGGATGCAAACTTCTGTACCTGCGCGGATGAAAACTTTTGCACACGCTGTGACTCCACTTTTCCTTTTGTTGTTTCCATGGTGGTTGTTCGCATGATATCCCCCAAAACAGGTTTCCTTAGCTTTGGTAAAGTGCTAGTGCGTTTGTTAAACAGTTCTGTTCTTCGGACCCTTGCACCTTACCGTTCTTGCAGTACAGGGCTAATGCAGTAACTAGCTTCCGCAGTCAAGTGTGAAACCACTTTGTTCAAACACCTACAAATGCTTGGACTCTCCGCCTTTCTGTTCCACCACCTTTCTTTGACTTGGGAACTGAGTTAACAGCAAACCAATGTCAGAGTGTGTCACACTCTGTTTCCAAGAGTTTTTCAATACGCAGGGGCGTCAGGCTCGACGCACCTACCTGACGCAACGAAGCTATGGTGTGTCGAGGGAAGCAGTCAGAGACGTCTGACTGTGTACCTGCGAATGCTTCACAAGCTGTTATCCATTTCTTTCCTTGTTTGTTTCCATGGTGGTTCTCATGATACTTCCCCCAAAACCTTTTCCTTCCGCTGCCCTCACCGTTCTGCAGACGACTTGCCGCCACGTTGATTGTACAGATCGAGCTTGCATCTTTGTGCAAACAATGTTCAACCATTCTGTTTCGCTGACCCTTTCACCTTGCGTTTCCCTCACCATTTTCGACCTGGGAATTGAGTTAACTGAAAACCCATTATCAAAGTGTGTGCCGCTGTGCCGTCCCACGTGGGTGCACAGTGTGATCCCCGTCACTGGGGCGCTGTTTTCTTTGTTTTCTGCTTTCTGCTTTCTGCGCGCGTTGGATTATCTTAACGGATTTTCGTTTCACTACTGTATTCTCAAAACCAAAGCCGCCGGGCTTCACGGAAATTCAATACCGCCGGGCTTACGGAGACTTAACCCAGACGCGTTCTCTACTCACACGCCCCAACCCCCCCCCCTCTAATTAGGGTAACAGAGGGAAATGGTGCTCGACACACTTGTGTGTCGGCGCCTGTCCCTCTGTTGTCCCTTTCTAGTCTACTCTACCCGGGCGGTGTAAGACGAAAGTCCCTATTGCACCTAATTCACTTCTGCTAAGTAGTAAGTAACTCTAAATTGCTAGGTAGTCATACACACACGGACACACACATGTTACATACATCCCCTCCCTGCCCCCCACTTTCTTTCTTGCGCTTTTCGTCGTTTGTTCTTTTGAGCTTTCTCTCAAGTCCAAGTTTTTAAGGTAATTCTTGAGGTTTTCTGTTTTTCTTTCTTTTCTAAGGCTTTTAGGTGCCTATTTAGGCTTTTACGCCGGAGCGCCGCAAAGCGACAGAGTGTGTGTGTGTGTGTCACACTCTGTTTCCAAGAGTTTTTCAACACGCAGGGGCGTCAGGCTCGACACACCTACCTGACACAGCGAAGCTATGGTGTGTCGAGGGAAGCAGTCAGAGACGTCTGACTGTGTACCTGCGAATGTTTCACAAGCTGTTACTCCATTTCTTTCCTTGTTTGTTTCCATGGTGGTTCTCATGATACTTCCCCCAAACCTTTTCCTTCCGCTGCCCTCACCGTTCTGCAGACGACTTGCCGCCACGTTGACTGTACAGATCGAGCTTGCATCTTTGTGCAAACAATGTTCAACCATTCTGTTTCGCTGACCCTTTCACCTTGCGTTTCCCTCACCATTTTCGACCTGGGAATTGGGTTCACTGAAAACCCATTATCAAAGTGTGTGTCAGGCTTACCAAGCACTTAGTAGTGGGGATGGGTGGCACTACATGGTGCTTGGGGAGCCATACAGCTAATTCGTGTGCGCAAATCGCACATTTGGGGAGGTTTCCGGTTGTTTTCCCGACAGCTCGAGCTGGGCCTTCTCGATGTGAAGGAAACAGAAAACGGGCCTTCTCGGCTTGGACTAGAACGGCTTCGACTAGCTACTAGTAGCGGCTATTGCGCCTGTGACTCCATGTGTGTTTTTGTTGTTCAGATTGTTTCAGTAGTGATTCCCTCACTGGGATTTGATGAGCAGCATCTGGCTAGCTTTGTGTGTGTGTCACTGCCCAAAGTTCTCAACGGACTATGTCAGAGAGATGCCCAGTAAACTGAGCAGGACTGAGCATAAATTTACCTGGCCAGCTGGCCACTAACTCGTCAATCAATGATAGAAGATCTAACATACTAGCCGCATCGTGTCTGATGAAACTATTGTTTTCCCTGTTTCACGACCTGACAGGCTGTGAGGAAGAAGTACATGCTGCAACAGTGGCCAAGCTGCAGATACTTCGGAGAATGGTGCGTGATCGCAGCACTCCGTGGATCAGCGAGGCGCGTATTCAAAGGTATTCAAAGGGGTGGCGACAGATTACCGGTCTCCAGATGTCATTCTCGGCGAAGTGATTGTTATACCATTTGTTTTTACTTAGAAGTTGTACGTTTCATGGATATGATGATGGATATGGATATGGATGTCCCCCGGCATGTTCTGTGGTTTCCAAACAATTGCTCCACCCTGGGCGTTCATACAATGGCCACAAATGGACCAAACCATGTAGATGTGCTTAGTGATGTGCATATTATATAGGTGACGGCGTCCCCCCCTGTGCATACATTCAGGTCTTTGGCCACCCCCAGCCTTTCATACATGTCCCTAAAATCTCAAAACGGTGTTTCCAGAAACACTGAGGCAACAAAAACAATGTAATTATATATGTTGTATTGAGACATCCATTTTCTCTATGTCAACCGCAGCTGGTCAAAAAATGTTTTTTTCAACAGAAAACCTTCCCCCCTTTGTGGAGATAGACCCGGTGATCTCCGTGGTCTTGTGTTTACATGTTGGACTGGCTGGCCTGACCTGTTGGACTAGCTGGCCTGACATGACGCCATCCAAAGTTCGAACTCTTAGACTCTTGTCCACTGGGATGCAGGCAGAAAGGGTGGGTGTGGCAGAACAGGCATTCCGAGATGGCTCGCAACATCTCGCAACTCATTGAACCTGCCAAGGCATCATCAGGTTGCGAGAAATGCCGTGCTGGCCAGCGCCTAGGGAGAGAAATGAGAGGAAAGCCGATCGAATGAGCAATGCGTGATCTTGCGTGATTTGGTGTCAGACTGTTTCGAAAATCATGTCATAATGCATGCAGTGATTCGCTGAACAAAAAGGAATGTCATTGCTCTCGGCCTTGCACGCAAGGGAGCAGACAGAGATTTGCTTCCCATTAGCTCAATGCTCGTTTTTTACCTTCCGAGCGATGCAACAACGGCTGTCGCTCGAGAGCAATTTATTGCACCGGCCCGCCATTTGCCTGCGCACTGCACGCGAATTTCTTTGGCAAGTAGCCACGGTGTGGAAGGAATTCGACAATTTCCAGACCAAATGCTGGGATTATCAGCTGACCATAGTGGAATTGGGACAGAGATTCAGACAAATCGTGACAGATCAAATATTGCTGTGGCCTTGCGCCAATTCAGACGGGCCTGAATCATTTGCATGACAGTGCAAGCGAATCTCCAATTCGCCATCTTTAAAAGAGCCACACACCACTGCATGTGAACATTTTTGCAGCTGAAGTTTGAACAGGCCATGTGTATCCCGAGGTTTTTTTCGACACCCTGACTGGGTACGTACATGCTTATATATGAATATGAAGTATCCCCATCTCATTTGCTAAGTGAAGTTCTTTGGGTCTTCCACCCGGGTCTTTGTTGCCTCAGCTCCACCCCCCTCCGCCTCCATCGCCTAACTGCGCGAAGACTCGTCGCCTCAGGTTGGCTCTTCGATGACCCACGGCTGGACCAATCCATCGCAGAGCCGCCGACCCGGCCGAGTTGCTTTTTGGGTGGGAAGATTCCAAGGACGAACCGAAGAACAGGTTTTCCCGGAAGAAACGGTATGGAACACAAATGACGTTTTTCGGACGCCACGCCAGTTCTGAGGTTGGTCAAACAATCACCGTTAGGGTGGGTGATGCAGGAGAGACCACGAACAATAAGCCACGGTCGACCCCACTGTGAGACCTTTACTCCGCTGGCCCCTGCCGCTCAGCCTCGCTCAGCGGCCAGGTTGCAGAGTGTCAATCACTTGGCCTTTTCGCCACAGCAGCTTGGTGCATCATGGAGCTGTGTGGTTCAGGCAAAAAGGGATGCTTTAAGGTTCAGGTGGTTTCGGAGTAGTGACGCACCATCCCAAAGAGGTCTTTGAACAAATTGGGGGGTTCCACCATGTTCCACAATGTTCACCCCTTTTGAAGATTGTGCCATCATCTCCTTCAACCACTGTAGTTGGAAGTGGAGAGGAACTCAGATGTGGTCCAACAGGTGAACATGCTTTTGGATTGATGGTGGGGCAGGTATGGGCAGGTGGGAAAGCATGTTCACGCAACGCCCACCACCCCAACAAAAACACACAGGACACGCATGTTTGTTGGGATGTTTGTGTCATGTGTTTTGCACACTTTGTGCGTCATGTTTTCGAGAGTGAACAATGGCATGACACCATGAGCCTGGGTACAAGTATATATATACATGCATACAGAGAGAGAGAGAGAGACATGTTTTCGATTGCGTTTTGATGAGCTTGACAACATCGGTCCTTCCCGGCCTCGGCGTTAAGAAGAAGTGGGAGGCAAAGGGAACGGCGGGAGGGCGAAGGATGGCCATAGCGTGAACAGGAGTTGCCCCTAGAATTCCCACATGTGGGCGGATACCTGTTGACATGATGCCGTTGACATCCCTAGGCAGATGCCCTTAGCCTCCAGCCTAGTGAGTGAGTTCTACAATTACAGTAGTTATTGATCCATTGGTCCATTGGAGGGCGCTTTCAAATCTATGAGAGCCTGTTGTTTTCGGACCCGAGACTTTGTTTGCTCCTCGGGGAACGCCAGGAGTCAGAGCCATGTCGCTCGAACCATCGACCCGCGCTTGACGCATCAAGGTTCTACTTCATCGAGACCTACTATACCTGGGGCATGTTAGTCTCCTTACTATCAATTACCGTTTTCTTGCGGAAGGAGCTCCTTGGAACGGTCAGCATCGTCATCCAGTTTAGTAAACCGTGCTCAAACACAGCCTGTTCGTGTCATGAATAGTGTGTTTGTGCGCGCATTTTCCACACAGTTTTGCTTGAGGTTGGTGAACAGAAGGACGCTTGTTTGTTTCATGACCAAGTCGTAGAATGATTGTTGTGAATGGCTGGCAATGCCCCCACGCAATCCTATTCAAATCTATTCATTTTTTTGTTTTTAAAATCCGGTTTGGCCCTGACATTCCGTGACCGGTTATTACATATACTACACACGCTGTTGCACCAATGCACATACACTGTTTGTTGACCTCATGTTGACCGAAGTCGCTGAGTGCTGCTCCCCATGTGTGCACAACGCATTGATGTGGCGGGTGTGGTTAGTGGTTGACATTGGCTACGGTCACCGGTACACCGCTTTGCCCAGGCTAAATCCGCTGGATGATCCAGCGCTCTTCCTCCTGGTGGGTCAGATGTTCCTGTTGAACTATCTTTTGGAAGCTGGGCTTGTTACATCAACGGTTGGGTTGGTGGGTTGGCCGGCCATCATTGTCCAAGGATATTGAATGTATCCAGAATGAACACCAGAAGGACTGGCCTTTGGGGCCAGCAATGCCATACTTCTCAGGCTTGCCCAAGATCTGTCCTGACCAAAGGATCGATTGTGCGAAGGGGACGAGCTTTCCTACTGTTCAACAGGGCATTCATCGATGTGAACCGCGGAATTGGATGGCCTGGAAGCTATTCTAGACTCACTTTCACAGCGTTTTTGCTTTCTGGTTCCCTTGTGCCGAGATCTGTGAGATGCCAATGAGATGCTGTGGCGAAGACTGATTGACGAGATTTGGTGGATTAGACTGATGTAGCAGAAAGCGTTACCCCTGAAGACTAATAGCATAGACCCTGCAAACCACTGGTTTGCATATAGAGGAAAACAGTCTTACTTTGAGGGTGCTATTCTCAGGTTCCATGTTATTCTTCCCGGGTGTACCGTTTTTGACCTTCCGTGGTGCAGGAAGCGGGCCGGGCCAGGGATCGCGTACCGACTGAGGATCGCATGATTCGCTGGCTGACCTCTTCCGTGACTTGGGACCAATGCAACCACTCATTAGCCGAAACCCCTTTGAAAAGACCCAAGAAGTACCCCTGCATCTAGAACAAACACGGATTCAGATTTGGTGATTTGGATCAGCTAGAATCACATCTACTTTTCTAGCCCGCCAAATCATAAGCTTTTGGTTCCTTTCGTCCGAGTCCCGTCTACGAAGCCTTTTGGTGTTCGTAGAAGGACCGGTGCTGACCGTTCGTCGTCGGACGTCAGACGCGTTGCCGGTCCACGTGCTTCGAGCCGGTCACCATCACCTGCCGCGAGTTCGGCCCTTCAGGTTCTTTGGAAACCCATGGACAACAGCAACTTCCGCATTTTCAGCCGTTCAGTAGCTCTGGCCCTCCAACGGAAGGCGAGAGAGAAGAGAAATTAAGAGTATGGGGATGAAAAAGATTGAAAAAGAGCGAGCTGCAATGATGGCCAGCACGGGTGAGAACATTGGCGATTCATTTGAAGTCACTATGGAGTTTTACTATCTATTACTATCTCATAAAGTGGCTACAAGTGGCTTACCCATGTTTATGTGTTTTGGGCGGCCAATTGTCCAACGACTTCAGAGTAAGAGCAGCATTTAAGTGGACATGGATCATGGATCGAGCATCGGACCGACCTGGCCACTTCTAAAGGACCGACCTGGCCACTTCAGGATGCGGCCGTGGCGCAAGAGAAGTACCGCCAGTGGTTTTGGCAGCGCCATTCAGGCCAAGAGACCGTCTGGAATTGTAAAGAGGTCCGTATTTTAACCACCATTTCCACTCAGCTGGGCACCCATTTCTACTCAGCTGGGAACCCCATGTTTGTAGATTTATAGTCTAGTCCTATCTCCCAGTTTCACTAAGTATTGAGAGATTTGACTCCAGATTTCACCTGCCGATTTGGTCTTGTTTTGTGCGTTTTGGGCAGCTGTTTGATTGGAATTTCAGCCTGGGCCTGTGGCTGAAAAAACGATTCGTTGGCTAAATTTTGCAGGAAGAGAAATGCAACACACGGCCATAGGTGTCACATGACAGACTCATTCGCGTAGTCGACTGCTTGAATGCCAGGTTGGTTGGTGAGCCACTTGAATGACATCTTCACACCACGCTCAAGGGAGCGCTACAAGGGAAAGCTCAGCCTCCTCTACCAGCAAGCCTTGCAGCTTCAACCGGCGCCACAGCCTTCAATTGGTTGATCTCGATCATGCAATTGTGAGCCAAGTGGTGCTGTTGATGAGAACGCCTCCATTGTGTGTGTGTGTTTTATGTAACCTAGACCCCGCAAAAGACGTCTTTTCCCCCCGGTGGGGGCAATTTTCAGGCAAAGCCCGAAAGGCCAACACAACAAGCAGATTTGGTATCGATGTTTGTTACTTTTGCGTTGATGTTTGTCACTTCTGCGTCATTTTGGTGTCATGTTTTCTATCGCGCACTTGCTGCTTTTTTCTGCGTCATGTTTTCTGGCGAGATGGAAGAAAAACATCGTTTCAGGGTCCAGGTGTATATATATATATATATACGTATATATTATATATATATATACATGTGTGTATAATAGCAATTATGTTGCTCAAAAACAATACATATATATATATATTGCATTTTGGGGGGGATCCCGGATTCCGATTTGGCCAGTAAATAGATGTGAGTGCTTTATCTCCTCAGGCTGTTGTTGTCTGCGCTTAACAGCAACCACATGAGTTTTGTTCTCCAGACCCAAAGGAGAGTTGTGTTGGATGCTTTTTTGCAGCTTCCGGCTTTTGAGGGAGAAATACTGATTTGGCGGTTTGGAGCACGTACTTGCAGACATCCAAACTTCGTGACAGCACTACCACTACCCTATAAAGATTGACTTCATATGAGTTCATACGGTCTTGCACTCTGACAACGCAACCTAGTGACCTAGTGCGTTCATGCGGCCCTATTTGATCCTTCCCAAGTTACAAAAACATTGAGAACCCTGATTTGCATGTGTTTTCTTGGATTCGGGCGTTGTTTGTATAGCGTTCTAGGGAAGTTGTTGGCAGTCCTGACAGCGGTTCCTTTAGCTTTGGTGTTTTCTGATGAGAATAAGAGACACTGTAGGCGACGCCATGCGCATTCGGCACCCAACTCTGGGGGTATAACTGTAGAACCCTTTTGGGTTCTTGCTGTGGCGAGTTTAGGAGTTTCAGGATGTTCATATAAATAATCCCGGCGCTCTCCAACGTTCTTTGATTTCCACGAGAAGTTTCCCCGATTTGCAAAAGATCATGGACATTGCAAGGTGTGGGCCCAGGGGAGTACAGTTTAAGCTGGCCCCGTCAAACCCTCCGCTACATCAGGTGAGACATGGCTTACCACCAACCGGGGGGTTAATTGTTTCTCCCAAAGGTTTTTGCATGTATTTAGCTGTTCAACCAAAGCCTTGCAGCCTTGCATAGTCGTGCTCTCACTGTCCCATTGATGGTTCCACTTACTTGTGAGGGCACCGCGAGGTGTTTTGTGCGCGCAGCCGAATTATTAAGGTGTTTTATTTGTTGGTTCCCAGACTGCTTTGCCATTAGTTTCTGATCAGCCGGGCCAGATGTTCCCACCGGTTCAATCTGCCGAGTGGTCACCTCCTCGTGACGCTCAGACCCGCGTGTACAAGACGCCGGGCGAAGCCTTTCCAGAGCCCGTCGGACAACAAGAGCTGCCGGAGAACCTGCGCTTGGAGTACCTGGGCAGCCTGGGCTCCAGAAAAATCGGGTGATCTTTAGCATAGGAGACCGTTAAAAACCGCGCGACTGGTCGGTTTCTTATGCTCCCCTACTTGCCAGCTCCAATGTGTATATGAAGCACGCATGGGGATACTTCTGTAGCAGCAAAGAGTTGGCCGATGTTGCCACCGAAGTTACATCTTCAGCTCTCACTTGAGCATTTTTAGAAAAACTTGACACTTCGAAGTTTGCACTGCACATGAAGATCGCTGGTACCCCCTTTTTAAGATTGCTAGTGACTGAGTGACTGCTAGTGCCCAGAAACCCATTCAGGAGTAGCAAATTTGCAAGAAGCTTTGGGTAAAATCCCCTTGTGCCCCTTTTGTGAACTGGACACCCTCTTTTTGAATCCCTTTTTATTCATGAAACGCCAACCGCAAATCTCTCCGACCGGCAGAGTCAGACTGCACGGCAGGCTGGAAGAGGATGAGTCTGATGACGACGAAAGCCAGAAAGCCCTGGCACTGGGGGGAAAGGCGCGATGGCTGGTGAGATGTTTGGGTCTCCGCTTCTTTGGCTTCTTTATCAAGCAGTCTAGCCGGTTGTAGTGCAAGCTGAGGGGTCATTGACGGATTGGTTCAGGCTTTCAAGCTTTATGAAGAGCCAGGGGCATCAATTGGCCAAACTACCCACATCTACTACCCACATCTAACCACTGGTGGTATGGTGCGGCAGCGGTGCTGTTGGTCATTCTGCCGTGCTGCCCGTGCTGCTGTTGGGTGACCATGAAGCCACTCCATCCGTCGCCGGCGGCCCGTCCGAAACGCGGACTCGGACCCGCGCAGGGCGGCTTATTCGGTGCCCTCACCTTGCCTGGTATCAAGAGCAAGCAGGGCGATGGAGAAGGACGCCCAGCGAGCGGACGACGCCCGTGTTCTCCCAGTCTTTTAGGGGTGATCGTAAGCGAGCAGCTTGGGTCTGTGAGCCCGGGAGCCCAAACGGAGTCTAGTCGCTTTCAGGTGCGATGCTTTGGATCAAACCAGGCTCCAAGAGTTCTGTTCTATAGGAGGTCAAATTGGATGGTGGGATCAGGAATGCCGGGGAATAGAGCAGTTTGAACCCCAGCCCTACTTTTGGGTCCACAATCCAACAAAATCGAAGAAACGACGCAAGCAAATGCCCACAACCCATCACAACCCCAACGAGAAACATATCGAAATACACATGTTTTATCATGTGTTTTTCTCCAGCGTACCTGGCACACTTGGCGCGTATTTTTCAGGCTCGATGCCGATTGGCATGCGAGCATCAGTGGCTTTGCGACGACTGGATATTCCGTCTTTGCCCCTCGGTTTTCGCAGCGGGCGGTGGAGCCATGCATGGCGGCGGAATCCGATCAAATTACGCTGTGTTCAGCACTGCTGTGTACTTAAGGTTGCACTTATCACACAATCTTTGATGGAAGTTTTAACGAGGTCCGGCATGCATTGTTCTGTTTGAATGTATCTTGTTGGTGGAGACACACGTTGGTCTCGGGAGATGGCACGTGGCACGTGGCACCAAGAAAGATGCAAAATTTGCAATCAAACATGCTGGACCATACTTATGGGATTTTGCCACGCGCATTGCCAATCTTTGCCATCATGAGCAGGACCTTCAGTTCGGGACCCCTTAGACTTCGTCTCTTTCTGTGACCTCTTCGACTAAGTGACCACATGTGACCTCAATCTCAAGGACGGTCACTAAATACCAGGTCCTGGAAGTGGTCCTGGTATATACAGTTAGTTCTTACATTCTCACTGAGCCCGCTCCAGGAGCCGTCTCCTTGCATCTCAGGCCGCAGATGCCCGTGGCGCCAGGGCCAGAGCCGGTGACGCCACCCCCCGAGATCGAGGACAACTGGCCCTTGCAGGCACATGGCGAAGCCTTAGAGCTGCCAGATGCTGGAGGCTCATCGATTGTACAGTGAGGTTTCTCAGAGTAGATGGCACAAGCTACCCCCAACTCGGTGGTTTAATGTGGTTTATGTGGAGCCCAATGTATAAAGGACATTTGGGGGTGCCAGTGCCATCTACTCTGAAACCAGTATACTTAGCTGGTGGGATGCCGGCTCCGCCCGCGTATGTTCCGAAGCCAAGGGGCCAAAAAGGAGGAAACTCATCGAAAGGCTGAACGAGCAAAGACCCGGAAACCCGGAAACTCATCAAAACTCCTTCAGGAAGCATCCGAACAAAGTCCTATTCCGCAACTCTCCATTCTTCTGAAACTTTTCTTCCGCAACCATTTGGTACTCTTCCGCAACATTCCGCAACTACTCTTAAGAAACTTTGTTCGTCATAAACTATTTTATTGCGCTCTTCACGATCTATTTTGCGATCTTCAGTAACTTATTTGCATGCTTCAGAAAGTATTCTTCAGAGCTTCTACCAATATTGTGACCAAATTTCGGGAAGGAGCACTGGGGGGGGTGGGGGGTGGGTCGGGTGCTGGGTTATTGACGTACCTTGTGACAGCTACGATATATACGTGCCTATTTGGCGATCTGCGGAAACTTTTTCGTGTAGGTTTGATGTTGCTCTTCGACTCTTCGTCATGTCCGAACATTAGTTATAGTTTCTGAAGAAAACCGTAATGAAGTTTCGGAAGATCACCTTTGATTTGCTGAAGATGAGTTTCCACAGAAAAGATTCCGAAGAAAACCGCAAAGTTTCCGAAGATTAATTGGATGGTCCTGGAAAAAACATATGTTGTGTTTTTTCCTCCCGTTAGGGCCCTAACCAGAGGCCATCCGCCGATGCCAACCAAGGCTTTGGGCCTCTAGCCGCACTGACCACCACCGCCTGGCTCCGGGTGGCAAGACGTCGGCTCATCATGTCGCGCCAAGCCAAGGCGTGGAACGGATTCCAACAGTGCTTGGTTTTGTTTTTTAGATTGAAGCCGTTGAGGTATAGGTGAAGTTGATGGAAGTTCAACAGGGCAGTGCAACTATTTTGGTGAGAGGATTGCAGTGACAACTTCAGGATGTTCCTCCCTGTCCTTCACTGCACTGTAGCATTGAATGTAGCACCTTCTCATACTGGCTGCAGTATGAGCCTCAAATTCCCGGGGTGATGTGATGAAGTGTAGTAAAGCAGAAGGACTTGGAAGGATGTCAAAATCACAGGAGTACACCATCGAGCAGCCTTTGAACGACGTGTGCGGTGGCTGTGCGGTGCGTGCCAATGACCCTTTCGTCAAGGATGTCCGGAAGAACTGACTTGGACATTTTCGTTGACTTCTTGATGCAGAATCAGGTATACTGAAGCTGTAGGACCATATTGGATGTCTTGAGGGACCGCCAAAGGCGTCGACAGAATGGCACACAGAGTGTCAAACCCAGACTATCCCACCCACCTGGAAGGACAAGAATGTCCTCAAGGTTTGAGAGCATAACATTCCCGTGAGGGAAACTTCTGGCATTTTCAATGAAAAACATCTTGGGGAGTCATGAGGGTTGAAAAGACAAGAGAGGGAAAGGGACATCCCGGAAAATGAAACATGAAAGGCCTGAGAATGCCTGAGACAAAGATAGACAGGATCAAATTAATCGGTGGGTAAAAAATATATATATATATACATGTCAATTAGATTGGGGTCCAGCCCTATATGAGCTTGAAGTATTTATTGTTTCGAACATTTGACAAGAATCAATCCTGAACCCCAGATCTTTTCTTCAAGTTGTGCTTCTTCCAAGTCCCAGAAGAAAGAAGCAAAGATCATTTACATGAAGTAGGAAATAGGCTCGGTTTAGTATGCAAGGTGTGTGTAGGACATATGTTCAGGGATGAAAATGGTGAACATCGTCACGTTTAGTGTGAGAGCCTTCCAACATCTTCCAAAAGCGAGCAAACCTTTTATCACTTCTGGCACTTCACCCGGCATGGCAGCCTGCCCTGCGGGGCAGTTCACTCAAACACCGCGATCCAGGAGCGGGTTGGCATTTGGCAACACGGCCCTCGTTTTAAGGCTCCTGGATGCTGAAATCTATTGACTTGACCATTTGGTCGCCTGACAAATGCTGCAAAAGCGTAGAAGTCCCGTGTTTGGGAGAAACTGGACCAAGTTTCTCCACTTTCTATTCTGGATGTTTCCAGCCGTACTACCTGGCTGGTGGTTCCAGGCAGCTCATTTATTGAAAGCATGAGACCAATTTCCCTGTTTGTGCTCTTGAGCAAGACGTTAAGGTCTACATGACTGGCAATTTGCGTCAGCTGATGAACAGCTTCGAGCGGCACTACAACGCGCCCTAGCCTGTTGCGGAGAGATGTTCTTTTTATGTTGTTTTCCCTCTCCAAGTTGCGAGACCATTCCCCACACGACTTCCTATAGCGACCAACGCGACTCTACCTGCATGCCGGTCCAATCGATGTGTTGCAGGAGTAAATCTGAAGAATGAGGATAACAATAATGATTCAGAATGGATTTTCTAAGATGCATAATGCAGAAGCTCAAACATCATGTGATTCAATCGCCTCCGGGCCGGTGTTTGAGTCATAACCCTTCGAAGGCTTCGTAACCTCTCAGGTGCCGCCCATGCCTTTCATTCCAACGCCTGGGAGCTCAGGGTGGAATGTTCTCCCGACCGGGTGGTAACAGCAGGACAGACGCCGAAATCTTTGCTGATTGGAAGGGCTTGGAGTGTTTGGAGAAGGACATGGGCATATTTGGCATCCAATGACACATTTGGTCGCCGACCTTGTGACACCCGGCGAAGCCTGTCGGATCGACCCTCGGCCGATGTTCCTCCGGTCGCCACCACACCCGGTTGAGACGACGCTCGACCGACCGCGCCGTGCTCGAGGCAATGGCAAAATTGGTTGGACCGGCACCAGTGCTACCAAACTCTTTGTGTCCGCTGTGCATTGGAAAGAGGCTTTGACCCGCCGGAGGCCGGGATCGGACCGGAGCGGTGCGGTGAGCGACGAAGGAGCGGTGGTTTTTTTTGGAGGGCCGGGCGGGATGCGTCGGTTCATGTGGCAGTTACCGACCGGCGTGTTGTTTGGTAGGTTGTCTATTTCCAATGATGTCCAATTCTTATTTCAACGACCTTCTGTACGATAAAGACCCAACAAGTTGGCAGGGGTTTGGATATCTCCAGCGAGCTTGGCGAAACCACACCGCACCTGACGAATGTCTCAAGCTGTTGGCCATTGCAGCAATGTGCTCTTCGGGTGCAACAGGTGCATTAGACGGCCGGCCAATCGTTCAACTCGTTCAGTAAGACCAACGGTGGAACATGATAGACTTAACGACTAAATACATTGCCACCCCACACAGCTTGGAGCGTTCGTTTGTGCCATCTCCGCCTAGCGCCATTGCAGGCCATGACCCCGCCTGGCACGCCCCTGGCGCTACCTCAACAGACGCCCTTGACCATTCATGATCGTGAGGCCAGAGAAACCAATTGTCCTACCTGGCATGAGATGACTTGTGCACACTTCAATTCTTGAACAGCTTCGAAACGGTTTATGTTGCACTTTCCATTCGATGGACTGGAATAAGTGGTGTCACAAGAATGGTCACCTGTGGGGGGTCCGGAGGCAGCGAGAAAAGAACAGTTCAATTTGGTGAGCGAAGTCACTCCGGCAGTGTTGGCCTTCCTGCTTGCCTGCAGCACAATTGACTAGCTACTCAGAACCCGCAATTCACAATCTGAAGGTCCTTGATTTTGCATATATCTTGCAAAGTCAGTGAAAAACAAGTTGAACACCACACAGTTGGAACAGCCTCTCCCGGACTGGGCGCTCGGAGCCTCCGAGCCTCACAACACACCCGGTTTCATCCGACGAGGATGGAAGTACTGACAGCGAGGAGGAAGAGGCTCAGCTCAGACGGGTTATAGGAAGTTAGTTGGAAGCGACAGACAACCACTTAGCATTCCTCACAGTGGAACCACTTAGCATTCCTAACAGCGCACTTGAACATTTACCTTGTTTCGTTATAGTGAGGTGAAGGTCCAATGTTGTTCTTGAGTGGTCGTGTAAATACTGAAGGGCGAGAATATACAGGTCACCATTTGGCTCTCAAGTGTGCGCCCTGACGGAGAAGTTCCACACCTTTGCTTCAAAGAGGCATCTATCACTTAAAGAATCCACTAGACTATCAAGCAACTCAGTCAACGCACAATAGGAGATCAGACACCACATAGGGCTAGCTTATTTTTTGGCCACCAAGTGCTGGATTTGGGATCATTTGAGTTCGTTTGGGATCAGTTTCTTCACAGCACACTTGAAACCTTGGCCCACTGAGACATCCAGTGCATCCAGGCTTTGATGCAGCTGGAGAACCAGGACACACCTAAAGACGAGAAGGATGCCAGCGACATTGAGTTGGATCCAGGTGAAACCACGAGGCAGGATCAAAGTCAGTTGCAAAATGGGAAAAATTGTTTGGGTACAGGGGGGGGTGCCGACAAAGTGTCCTCCCTGTTTTGGTGCTTTGCTCTTGATTTGCTGAAGTAGTGCACAAAGGAAATGCCATTATAATCCATGATATAGACTATGTGTATATATACATAGGATTGTATTGGCAGTACAACATTCAAAAAGCAAAGTTCCTGGCTGTTTAATCCAGAGGGCGCTTCTATAAGCTTTGTGAACCCAAACGGTTATATACCCTCCAGCAAACAAATCACATGTGGAAGTGGAAAACCATGCATTTGTTTGTAAAGGAATATGGTCTTCCAGGGGCTCATTTTCATTTTCCACTTCCATGTTAAGAAGTCCAAGTGCAAAGGGTTTGTGCATACTCCACCACCAATCACTGCACCGTCACGGGCCTGCCAGCAAGCTGCAGGTTCCCGAACCTGGTGAATGTACAGGCCCGGCGGTGTGGGGATTTTCTGCGTCCGGAATCCTCGGTCGAACTTCATGAATATATATAGGCTATAGGAATATTATTACATCCGACATCCAAGGCGGCAGTCTACCGGCCACGTGTTTCATGGTGTTTATCATTGCTGTGATTTGCTGTGCGAATCTCAATATCCTTTAGGATGGACACCGCAATTTCCATGGAGGAAAACCAACAAGATCTCTCGGTTTTCCCCGGGCAAAGTCACTTTCAGTCTTGACCAAGTCCAACCGTTGCGTGCCGGCGCCAGGTGTCTCAACCAGCTCGGGAGATGATCCTCTACTGGGCACGGCAAGCGCGGAAGCGCATGAAGCGCCGGAGGACGTGTGGCCGAGACTGCCGCCGTGACGATTCGTTGAGCTGTGCGAGGTGGGACATGGATATTCGGTGAATTTAGATGATATAATAATACAATATATTGGTGCCCTCTTCCGTGTTGAAATTGATGCCCGGACCAGTTGCTATGTTTTGGCTCAATTCTGCTCATGTTGAATGGAACATCCGAATCTGTGGGTGGTTTCTCCTGCCAGGACCATTCGCTACCAACCCTCAAGCTCTGAAGAGGAGTCTGAAGAAGAAGAAGATGATGATGGATGCTTGTCCAACTTTTGCATTGTCCTGTGGGTAGCATTCAGTCGATTCATTCTGCGGCTTAGTATGTAGCTGCTAACTGGATACTGAGGGCGGTCATGAATCAACCAGATTGGCTGACAGGTCTTACCATGTTTGCATGGCGATATTACAACCAATGTTGGAACACCTGCCGGGTCAGTCCACTGGTCCACTGGCTGGTTCTGAGTTGTTGCCACTTCTCAGCATCTCCCCATGCCAGCCGCACTAAGAAGACACGCCCGAAGAGGCCGACTAAGCAGCCTTCAGGTGCGCTGAGGATTAACCAAAGGGAGGAGAATGTATTGCAAATTGCAAACTGTGAAATAACGTATATAGTAGCAAGTAAGACGAACAAGTAGTTAACAACACGTGTTTGTTTCTTCTTTGGTCTATGCTGAGTGAGGTAGTATGTTGTACTGGAACTTGATGTTTCAAGGGCTTTCTTGTGTTGGCAGTTGTATCGCGTACCTGGGTTGTAAGACTGCCGACCAGTGTCCGTTGCGACCATTTTCTTCAGCTTGTGTGCCCATTGGCCTCGCCAGGCTTCGAACCGATTGTACAGAGATGATGCCTGACTGTCAGTTCCGTATGGAACAAAAAAGAGCCACTCACCTTCCATTCACCTTCCTTGCCGCATTTCACCCTCCAAATAAGTCACGTCCAAAAATTGTTTATTATGTTTATCAGCAGGTCCTCATATTGATGCAAGCTAGTGGTTTTGCAGGCCCTCATTCTCAGCCCTTGGAGCCACGTGTTGCTCAGTTCCACATGAAACCACCCATTTCATGCGGTGTTTGGACATCGTTTTGAGCAGCTCTGAGATGGTTCAGCACCATAGGATAGCAGCTGTCCAGGATTGCCTACATCTAGCCCCAAAGAATGCTTTTGGAAAATTGTGCTCATGACACCGCCAGCTTCAGCTCCATGCATGTCTTGTTGAGATTCATGGATTGGTTTCCTCTCATAGCCTCCGCGGCTTTGTGGTTCCAGCGCGCCACGCGCGCCATGGAGGCCCTTCCACAGGGAAGTGTGCCCTTCCGGCGTTTGTCGGCGCCGACATCGCGAGTGGCCAGCGAGTGGCCGGACTTCGAGGCAAATGCTCCAGGCAGCTGGAAGATCGACTTCTGCAGCCGTCCTTTGGCACGAATTGAGTTCCGTTTTGCTGCCTGGAGTTGTCGAAGCACAATACGATGCATGAAGCTGTGTATGCGTGTATGATCATGTGCAATATATATATCGATATATGTATATATATCACGAAAGGTAGCGGTTACGCTACCTGAGTTTTCCTTTTGCTTTAGCAAAAATGTATTAACCCAGAGCTGCAGCCTATCTCTCGGAGAAATGGTCCCCGACATGTTCGTTTGGGGGGGGGGCCCCCCCCCCCCCCGGCCCTTCAACTCCACCCTAGCGCGCCTCGGGGTCAACCGTTCGAAAACACTGTAAATATCAGTGTTTTCAGCTCTTCCAGTCCTCAGCAGTGACCAAAAATCATGGAATTTACAGCGTTTTTTGTGGCTGTCCGGCAAAAAACACCGCAAAAACCGATGGTTTTTGATGCGTCTCGGTTAGAAAAATGACCGAAAAAAAACAAAAACCAGGAAAGATTTTGTCAGAAAGGGTTTTTGAGGCTTTTGGAGGCTTCAAAATTGCACAAAACTATGGTATTTACAGGGTTTTGTGCACCTTCCCGGCAGAAAACGCCGGTATTTACACGGTTTTCTGCGCTTTTCCAGCGCTCAACCGTGGTGCGCCTTTGGATCGACGGCTACAAAATACCGTAAATACCAGTGTTTTCAGCTCCTCCTGTCTTCAAGCGTGGCCTTAGACCTTGCCGCGGCTGTGGATCGACAGCAACGAAACCTCGTAAATACCAGTGTTTTTGAGCACGTCCTGTTTGCAAGCATGGCCTGCGGCCACGCAATTTACAGGGTCGCCGCACGTCACTATGTAAATCCGAAGTTGCATTTGAGAAATATGTGACTCCTTTTGAAGGCCCGTCAACCTGTATTGAAACCGCTAGACCGCTACAGCTTCTGGAGGTTTTGTCAAGCGTTTGTGCACTAGTCTTTCTTTCATCACGCTCACTCACTTCTCTTCAAACAAGTGGGGGGCCTCTCACCTCCTCCCGGATTACGCCTGATTCCCTGCTACCTTTCGTTCACCCCCCTCCTCTCTCAAGTATATATGCTCATATGCACAATGCACAGTATACTGTCAGGAAGCTGCTGTGGACCATGGAAACCGTTTGCATCATTAACGTTCGGAAGTGGAAATCGGCCGGGGAAAGCAGTCTTGCAATGGGCCATGTTCCACTTCCATGTTTGTTTGATGGAGGTTATGTGCTTTAGGCAGCAAAAAGGTGCTCGATCTCTGAGAACTCGCTATGCACTTCGTTGGACCAGCTGTGTCAACAAGTTACGGGCACCCAACAATCCAACCCAACAATCCAATTGTTTGGCATCACTGCCATTGGAAGATATTACAGTGTTACTACCGGACACGACAGGACAGATGTGCAACGAACGTGTTGCCCCCCCCAACCCCTTTCTACAATCTTAACAGAACAGACCCTCCCCTCATTTGGGTTGTAAGACCTCTTCTGATTGAGGGGCTCAGCCTTCACCGAGTTGAGTTGCATCACCCATTTGGCCGAGGACTTGGGCTCGGGCTCAGCGGGCTCGGCCTGATCCGTCGAGTGATCCGACGGAGCCGTCCGGTGATCCGACGGGTGCGGAAGGCCAAGGCAGTACAGCTGGAGGAGGACGAGGAGCTGAGAAGGGTTCATTTTTAGAAGACGAGTGAAGACGGGGCGTTCTGGGTTCTTGGATCATGTTGGTTCTAGCTGCTAGAAGACCTTTCCAGTTGATTCTTGGAGTTCAAACACGTCCCTGCACGTATTTGGACTGTTTTGCTCGCCAACGTGGCGTGATTTGGGCATGTTTGGATATGTTTGGGGCAAGCAAGGAGTTTTCCGGTCTTCAGCGAGTTTCCGTCCTGTAGGGCTGCTCTTCGCTCTGAACCGAGAGGGTGTTCTAAACCTGAGATGAGAAAGTACGGCATTGGTTTCGTGCGTGCGCGAGATTTGGGCGCGACACATGTGGAAGAGGGACCCAACTCCCCGGAACGTGGCAAGAAGATCCCAACTTTGCGGAGGATCCCTTGGACTACGAGGATGATCCCAACTATGAGGGCCCATGGCAACATGCCTTGTCGCTCCTGCAAGCCATGCAGGCCAGAAGACTTCAGTGCCTGGGATGCATATGACGCTCCTTCCCAGCCTTGGGAGAGGGCCTGCGCAGTAGCTCTATGTGTTTTTTGATTTGGAATCACAAGTGCCACAACGATCATTCAAGATCAAAGGTTGGAGATACCAGCAGGAAATTGTTTGTTTTGCAATGGTTTGCATTTGCATTATGCAATATGTGTGTAAAATTACTGTAACTCTTATGTCATTATATCAAACTCAGCGGGGGAAGCTGGTTAAAATTCATTCATATGGCTCAATTAGCCTGAGCCTGCCCAACTTTTGCCATGTCCACAGTTTTGATCTTGAGAGCTTTTCTTTCGATAGAACCCATGTCGACGCAACACTTGTTCGGCCCATGTTTCGACTATATACTGTATTCTTGAGGAGCAGCCATCCTTCAATAGACAAGCTGTTCAATTACCAGCGCTCTTGGCCCGCGCAATTGTCCTCATGTCCTTGCTTTTCCATTGTTTCATTCTTCCCAAGGTTTCGCTGGTTTGAATCTGAAGATGCCTGCACATTGGTGTACATTTGGATACATGTGGTTTGTTTGTTGGTGCTATTTCTGTTTGCCTCCATGATGGTGGAAAACAATGGTTCACAATTCAACGTCGATCTCGCGTCGATTTTTCGGTGCAGGCTGGGGGAGATCAATGTGGGTTCTGCTGTTCAAGCCTGTTTGGCTGTGAGAACTTCTCCGTCTCCACTTTCCAGCAGATGCTTCCACCGGGGGAGCGGCGGGTCACGGGTGGGGGAGCGAAGGGGGGCGCATCTCAGAGGGTGTGACCAGCACGGCACGGCAGGACTCTGGCGAAACTGGGAAGGCTTGACATCGCAAGCCTCCTCAAGGAGTTGTGATTTGACCCAGGCTTTCATGCAAAAACGTGGGTTTCGAAGGTTATCTCCAAGAGAGCCAGCCCTCCTGGCGTGGTGCTTTTTGCCAAGCTGAGCGGAGGAATTCATGGCATGGCCTCCTCGGAGGGGCCACCAGTTGTACTGAACTTGCGCACCGATTCGATATGACCAGTTTTTGGGTATGAATGTGACATAATGTGACTCATTGATCCCTTTCTTTCACCTTCCAACCTGCGATCTAAGGATGGCAACAGGCCTTGATGCTTTTTCGAACTGCCTCGACCAAACGGGTTTTGCCCGATCCAGCCTGCTGTGGCCTTCTGAAGCTTGGCCTGCACAGCGCAGCGCCCGGGATGGGCCAAAACCTGGAGCCCGACCAGTCCACCATCTAGCCTCCCAGGTAGGTGCTTGGTCTGTCTAGTGCCAGCTCCCCGAGCCACAATGAACGGGGATCTGGAGACCGGACGCAGCCTGTTGGAGGCCGGACCGTCGCAGCTCGCATCCTCCGCTAGGATTGCCGAATGTGAGCAAAGAGGTCTACAGTCCGTGGAGGAGGACATCATGTCCAGACTTCGCGAGCCTTCAGCTGTGGATCTTTGGCAGGTGAAAATAGGGGATAAATACGTTCCACTTTGTGTCTGTTGGAGAGGAGCAACCAATGAGCTTTAGGCTTTTAGAATTAGTTTGTTTTGCTTTCTACATGGGGGGTCTTGGTCCCATTTCAACACGCACATGCATATTGACTCATATTGATCCATTGCGACCCCACACGGGGGCCACAGTTGACCCGGTGGACCCCGAAGCCAAACGAGAACCGCGCCGTTCCAGGTTTAGGTTCAGATTCCCGACCGGGAGATCACTGCGTATACTACTACTGCTGCTACTACTACACCTGCTCCTACTACCCACTGCCAAAAGCCTACTGCCGACTGCCTGCTACTTCCCACTTCTTCCCACTACTACCTACAACTCCTACTCCTACTACTGCTACTACTACTACCACTTCTACTAGGACTAGGACTGCTACGACTACTATTACTACTACTACTACGACGACGACGACGACGACTACTACTACTACTTCCTGCCACCTACTACCTATACCCTTTCCTACTTGCTACCTGTACTTTCTACAATGATATTCTACCTACTGCCTATACTACTTACTACCTACTACCTATTTACTTACTGCTGCCACTACCACTGCCACTGCCACACTTGCCATCAAACAAGGTCAACCAGGTCAACTGGGCTTAACCGGGTGAAATGGATCAACCGGGACACCCTGTTCAGCTGGGACGGCAGATGTACCAGCCCCCGCCGACGCACTCTGTTGTTCAATAGGCTATGGCTTGGCACTGGGCAACTTGGGCTTTCTTGAATTGCGGCAGGCGTGTGCAGTTTTTTCTTTGTCGACCCACACTGTCATTTGCCGGGCGTGCGCAGTCCAGCGTACGGAAAAAGAAGCTAGCAGCTAGCGCTGTCCCGCCTTCGCAGGCTCGCGCAACTTACTGGTGCAAGAGGGTTGTCTCAAGCCGACCTTTTTCGTGGCAGGCACAGTTGATCGGAGCCGTTTCTACTTCGAAGTGCAGATTTCAGGGCAGCTGCGGCACTTTTCTTCGGCGGGCTTTGATTTCGTGGCAGGTGCGGTGAATCGTGAACGTTGGGCTCGCAGCGGTATTTGCGAGAGGTGTCGAGCGAAAGCTCCTTTGTGGCGTTGTGAACTTGTTGTGAGACGATGTGAGACGCACTGGCAGGCACAGCAGGCACTCTCAGCACTTTGTTGACTGCCAAGAGCAGATTTAGCGGCAGGCGCGCCTTTGTGTTCTCATAAATGTTTGCCTGCGTGCGTGCGTGTGTGCTGTATGTGTTTGTGTGTGTGTGTGTTTGTGCGTGTCTGCGTGTGAGCCCACCTGCGCTCACATGAGTGCTTTTGTAACCCCCTCCACCTATGAAAAAAAAACGGGCCCCCCTATATTAACAAAAACTCGGGCGTGCTTTCTTTTCTTAATTGGTTCGTCTCTGAAATCGGGGTTGTCCAAATAGGGTCAGTGTGAGGATCCTTGAATCATTGATAGATGATAAGTCAGCCAGGAAGATTTCATATAAAATCTTTTCTTAAACTCGTATCAAAATTTGAAAGCAAACCTACAGATCGAAGCGTCTTCCTTTTCCCCTTACAAAAAACATTTATTAAGCAGAAGGGGTGGCCATGGGGCCTGGGTTTTTGGTTTTCTGTATTTTATTTGTAGACAACTTTTCACAAATACAGGTTCTTCATTAGACTAACAACTAATGCTTTCGAAAGGTGAGTCCTTGCCATTGGGGGAAGGAAAGCCTGCTGGTGTAAACACGGTGTGTCATGGTGGATAGACAGGGTGGACAGAGGTGGGCAGTTAGGGTTGTTTTTGGAATCCATTTAGAAAGACTCCACCAAAGTCGGCCATGTTGGAACTGAGTAGCCATTCAAAAGGGCAGTAATTTCAACACAAATATACACCGTATTTAGGGGTTTGCGACAGCGTGGACCCTCCACGCACTAGTGCTTTTAAATAGGGGAGTGCTTTTGTATAGGTACTCGGGATTAAATATGTTTGCTCTCATGTGTGCGTGTGTGTTTTCATATGTGTGCTCTCATGTTTGTGTGTGCTCTCACACTTATGTTCTCGTATGTGTGTGGTATGGTGGTATGTGTTTCTTATTATATGTGTGTGTGCTCTCAGGTGTGCGCTCTCATATGTGCGTTCTCATGTGTGAGCTTTCATATGTATGTTCTCAGGTGTGTGCCCTCATGTGGTTGCTCACACATGTGCGCCTTCGTGTGTGTGTGTGTAAGTGTAAACTTTTGTTTGTGTGCTCTCGCGTGTGTTTTCTTAGTGTGTGCGTTCTCATGCACATGCTCTCTGAATGGTGTGCTCTTGCTGCTTGCGGAAGTTTGCTCATTCACCATTGTAACGTTGTTTGGTGTGTTTTTCTCGTTGGCAGAAGTGGGTGGTGTGTTGGAATCCGGACACGGCGCTTGTGGGGAAGTACATGAGGGGTTTCCTTTTCGCACCCGGTTTTGCACCTGTTTTCTTTGAGGAAGATGATGTCCTTGTGACAGCTACAGCTGCAACATGGCGAGCAAAAGTCACGTGTCGCGGGGCCTGCCAAAACGAAATCTCCAAAAATAAGTAACCAAACATGTGACAACCGTAGTCGTAGCACAACTCTTGAACATGTCAACCATGTGTTCGATTTAATTATAATTGTGTATTTTTTCGAGTAATTATAGCCTTAGCGCTTCTCACAGCACATTGAGATTGAATCTTTACGGCTGTTTTTGTATGGTTCCAGCTCAGGTTGCCAATGATATAGCTGCCCGTAACCGACCCTCTGGGTCTGGAACGCCTGAAGGGAGATGAGTTGAAATATGACTCTTCGTTCACGTCCACCGAAAAGAAGAGCGATATGATGTGGAAGATACGATGCTACCCATTCCAGCGTTAGTTCGTGCTGTTATGTTCACATGGTCGCGCCAGCCGAACTGGTTGGACCCAAAATTCATGTTTAAAGCATCAAACAAACAACATGTGATGCCCTTGCGACCCAACGTTTGCTCTCGGAACCTGTGACTGGCAACTCCGGTCTTTGGCCAAGAAGTGGCTCAATCTTTTTGTTGATGATCCAGGTGTTGGACATCCTTGATTTTTCCCGGCTTAGTGGGTTGGGTTTGGGTCCCATGACATTCCGTATAGTAGGGTGATTGATTGGATTTGGTGAGTGTGATTCCGAATCCAGATTGAATCTACGCCCACGGCGATATTTGGACTTTTGTTGTTAGTTGTGTGTTATAGACTTCCTAGGGTTGTGTGAGGTGAATTGGGCGGTGCAGTGTAGTTGCTGTATTTGTTGATGTGAATTTCAGGCTGATTTACATTGTTCCATCCATGATGGATTCAATCCCCTCGCCGCTGCCGCAGTGATTGCTTTAGAGATCTTTAGAGAGTGCCTCCCGGCCTTTAGACTCCAAAGCGCAACCACTGAGCTTTGTCAACTCAAAGTGGATTTGTTGGACCCATGGGCTCTTCCAACATTGGCCGAACCTGTTCGACAAGCCAACAGAAACTGACTTATGAATGGGATGTGCCAAGCTCCCAACTTTTCAGCCACAAAGGTGGGTGAACAACCTGCATCTTTTGACCAACTTAGACCATCTACCCTCTGGCCCTGAAAAGACTGTTATTTGTTGTGCCAGTCAGTCAAGATCATTTCCCTAGTGACCAGCCTGCCCTCAGCACCCAGCACCGGCAGCCAGAGATCAGCGTGGCGGCGGGCGCCGCGACCGACCCACGGAGGAACGGACACCACGGCGGGAAGTGCTTGGGGACCTTCGACTCGTGCGGCTCAGATATGTCAGTCAGTTGAAAACAGAAAGGATATGATTTTGGAAGGAGGTCTGAGGTTTGCACCGGATTCTTGAATTCATGCCGTTCTGGGTTCCACCTGAAAGCGCTTCGAAGTAGAATGTATACTGTCGGATACGTTAGGATGTGTCAGACATCAGGAAAAAAAACAATTCTATGGATTTCTTATCAGCTTGTTTGAGGGAACCTTCACAAACCAACCCAAGCAGCATCCTACTTCTGAAGCCAAGATCTCCGACTGAGCCAGGCGACGGCCAGGGCAGAATGAGCGAAGAAGAGGCTGCTGGGCAATCGTCGTTCTTGGGCGCGGGCGGACGTGAACTGAACGGCCGACACGAGCAGTCGACGGTGTTCAACAACTCTCCGTGCTGATCCATATACGTTGTCCTGTGGACGGTCCTGGCAGGTGGGCATAGATTTGAACATATTTGAATCCATGGGGGGCAGGTGAGAGCCTTTTTTGAGCGAAGCATGTGACGGACCTTGTGGAGTTTGAGCCTTCGCTTTTCTAATCCAAGTTTGTCATTGGCGAAGTGAACATATTCAGGACGAAATTATCTGCACAAATTATAGCGAGGACAAACGAGGCAACGAGGTGGCTTAGGGAGAATTAACGAGGACAATCTTACTTTCGTTCCATGAATTAAGAAACTGACGAGGTAGCCTCGGATGGTTCCGGTTCAAGTTGGAGGTGGTTAAAAAAGAAAACACTTTTTGGGCTTCAATAAGTTGCCTTTGCTTGGCTCTGAACGTCAAAGTGATTGAATGGAATAATAAACGTTTCAAGGCCCAGAAAGTTTTTTTTTCATTTCCCAGGGCCAAAGGCATCTTCTCTTTTGGACCAAAAGTGTGTGTGATCGGTGCTTCTATGAGTACGCAGCCATGAGTATGCTTTGGGTTCTCGTTTCGTCTCATGGGCACGAGCTCTACAAGGTTGATGTTTGCCCAGAAGGCACATGGAAACCTGTGCCTCAACCTGCTGGAGTGTATATTTAAGAAACTGACGAGGTAGCCTCGGATGGTTCCGGTTCAAGTTGGAGGTGGTTCAAAAAAACCTTTTGGGGCTTCAATAAGTTGCCTTTGCTTGGCTCTGAACGTCAAAGTGTTTGAATGGAATAATAAACTTTTCAAGGCCCAGAAAGTTTTTTTTCATTTCCCAGGGCCAAAGGCATCTTCACTTTTGGACCAAAAGACGAGAAGGCACATGAAAACCTGTGCCCCAACCGGAACCTGCTGACGAGGTATGGGCAGGAATAACTTTTTCCATCGGGAAAAGTTTATTTTTCACCACTTCAGCAATCCAAATGATACTGTTGTATTAATTTCCTGTCGTGAATTAACGAGGGACAGCCCTAATTTGATGACCCGAATTAGCGGACGAGGACACTAAACGCGGCCAAGAAATTAAGCCCACGAGGGAGACGACCTAAGAAATAAAGTAACTTGCACAGATATTATGGATCCTACGTATGGAAAATATATATGGCCTTCTCGGAGCTCCGAGAGAAGGAACATTCTGATATGATCTGAGATGCAGGCCCAAGGAGTGTTTCCCTAGTTCTTATTCTATTGTTCTTATTGTGCGGGTCTTCTTTCACAGCACGTCACGTCGGCACGTTAGTCTTACGCATTCGCTGAGGCCGTGAATAGTAGGTTTGGCACTCAGGGCTTTGACACAGTGTTCACAGAGACGGAACCACTTTCTGAGAGAGAGGGGGAAAGGGTTTTTCATGGTTTTTACCATGTCCAAGCATTGTAGCAATTCATGGAATTGTAGCAGCAGCTATGCCAGCACTCCAGTTTGTCCAATGATAGCGCTCCGGCCTTGCATACAGGCATGTGTTCCATGTGATCGCAAGTTGGTAGAAGCCACCCGTTGGAAACTTGCAAAGCGTATTAGTTGACGCCACATCCACCCTTTAACGATGCATACTAGTTGCCAAGTGACAACTCGTGCATTGCCTTCATGGTTTCTGCAAAAATTTGCCCTTTCAGTTGGACTGTATGCTGCTTAGGTTGAGCTTTAGTGCTGAGGCAATTTTGGTTCAAAGGGTCCAATGAGATATCCATGGAGAAATATGGAGATGCAAAACCACGCAGCCGGCATACTTTCACTCCAATCTCGATCTGTTGCCGAATTCGACATGAAACAGTGCCCTTTTCCTGGGTTTTCTTCAGGTGAACTCTCAATACTTGAGACAATGCTGTGTTTTGCTTTCGTTCACATCATACACATATATTAGATGATTGGATATGTATATAATATATATATATACAATGTATCTATAATGTTAACAGTTAGTTAGCTATAGATGTATATATCCATATTAAGTTATTCATTATAAATATCCAATCATGATTTGATTCAAGGGACTCAGCCCAGCAAGATTGTTCGTGTGATTGGGTGGATTGGCTCACAATTACAGCGGAAAGCCGCTGTCGAGCAGCGTCGCCATGCCGTCCATTGGGGATGAAGTCTATCGCTTGGGCCTGGATTTGAGCAACGAGGTGTGTGGCCGAAACAGGATTCCATGGACCAAGATACCGGAACGTAGATGTTCATGTTGGTCTTTTGTTATGTCCACGTTGGTGTTCATGTTGGTCCTACTAGATATCTATATAATTATTGAAGTTGTTCTGCTTTTGCATCTTTAATTCATGTCCGTTGCTTTTGACTTAACATAAGTGAGTGATAGTGATAGAGAGTTCAGGATCTGCTAAGCACTGCTTGTAGTTCAGGAACTATACCTAGTAATTGGTATGTAATTTTTAATCTATTGGATCAGGGGAGTTTAGGTTACTAGTGACAGCTTTTCTATATTGGAACGAGGGCACAGAAACTGTAATCTCGGATAATGTTAAGAAGGAGCGTCAGCAAGAAGGAGCGGAGGGCAGTGGGGTTGGTATGAATGATTGATTTGGAGCTGTGGGCGGGCTTTACCCCCATCCAACTAACATGGTGCGGGCTGTTTGTAGAGGTCAACAGCCTTTCCAGGAGCCATTGTCCACCTTCAGGACCGTTGGTGGGAGACCGAAACCGAGTGGTCCTTCACTCCAGGCCATGGCTGCTGTGGAGAAGCTGCCCTACGGCCATGCCGTCGTCACACAACGGCACTGTGACGTACGGGGCAGCGGGACGAGAAGACACGGGACCGAGGGGCTCGATGGTTCAACGGAACCTTGCGGTGGTCCTGGAGCAAGCTTGCTGGCCTCGCTTCGAGCAAGCTTGGGCAGCTCCAGCAAAACTGCATAGAAGATATTGTATAATTTCCATGGTGGTGGTAGTCCGAGCAGCTGTGGGAGCCGCGGTCACTCGCCAGATTTCACCCAGTATTCACTGCTTTGCTCGAAAAGCCAAGTAGTTCCAGTCGGAAAAGCTGCATCTTCTGATCTTTATTTGAATCATGTCCCAAGTCCTACGTCTTCACTTCATCAACTTGGAACACATTTTTACCTTAGCTGGTTTTGCATCAACCAAATTTCGATGCCTCGAGCTGTGTGGCACAGTGAGTCGACTCTCCCGACTGGGGTGGGATGCTTCATGGCCCGGCCCGGCCTGGGCGTTGCCAGTGGCGTTGCCCTGCTTCGCCCTGTCACAGCTTCGCCATCCAAGGAGCTGCTGGGCGCCACCCAGCAGAAATTTCAGAGTGGTCACCTCAAGGAGCTGCCGGGAGCGGTGCATGCCGAGAGGGACAGGGGACCAGGGATGTCGGATGCTTTGAGACGTTCAAGTTGCCGAGGTAATGTAGACTCTTGATGACTAAACCACCCCATATAAGAGGTGTTTCAAGTCAATTGGGGGGGTTATTGACAAAGAGTCTACATGCACTGCTTTCCAAAACTAAGGTGTTTTCATTGAATGCAGCCCACGCACAGAACTCTGCCACATGTTCAACTCTTCGCCGCGTGAGGAAACACCAGGTACAGGTGCCATTCTGCACTTCATCTCCGCCCAAGTGATTCCACTTCATCTCCGCTCCCAGGGGTCCGCATGTTGCATCCCAAAGGGGCTGTTTGTGTTGTTCGCAAACCAGTGCGTAGACGCCGTACGACGCAGTAAGCGAGCCGAGCTGCGCCGTTGTGGGTTCGGGTGTCACAGGACCCTTCGAACTACATTTGTGCGACGGTGTCGCGTGGGCCACGCGTCAAGGAAGTCAAGTCGAGGAGGTTACGTGAGAATGGGAACTCGTTTTGACGGGCTTCATGTGTTGTGGTGGGGAAGGTCAATGGTACAAATCTCTTCAGTCAGTGTGAACATATCATTACAATTGCTGACATGTTTGAAGTGAATGACAATTTTTTTGGGGATGAATCAAACCCTGCAGCCCTGCTCTACAACGTATAGCGAGCGCACCGATCGGTGACCACGTCGGTAGGTCCGAATGAGGTCTCGTTGTGACCCACGTGGCCCCGTGGCCCAGGTATGTGCCGCGATCGGGGTCTGGTCAGAAGGGTGCCATCGGCGCTGGGGGAGCGAAAGGCGACCGAGTCTGACAGAGTGGCCGATTTCGGCAGAGGTAGTCCTCCACATGAGTTGCACGTGAAGAAAGTGAAGACCCATTGAACTAGTCTTGAGCAGAGGTTTTATACATGTTGCAATTTTGGTAGCCAGCATTATCATGGAAGTCTGAGAAATGATGGTTGCAGTGGAGTGGTAGTGACGAAGAAAAGACTGGCTGGGTGAGGTTCGGCTTGGTGGGGTTGTAGCGCCTTGGCTGGAGGCGTTGTAGCGCCTTGGTTTGACCGCTGGGGTCATATGACCCAGTTTCAGAATCCAACCGATTCGTTTCCGAATCCGGCTCTAACCTTAGATGGATGTCGTTGATGGAACTTGGGGTGTAGCTCCAATCGAGTTGAATGGAACTTCTTGTTGTAAGGAGGCCACAGAATGCCACATATATTTGTCTGAAGATATCGTGTGATCATAACTGCTTGGATCGCTTGTCACCAGGCGGGGGCGGTCACAAGCCCGGATCAGACAACTACGAAGCAGCCGCTGCTGCATTGATTCAGACTCCAGGTGCCAACATTGAGCCCACACCGTGATTTCCCGGTAGCGGAACACATCGACAGAATCACTTGCGCCTTCTTTTTGTTTCCATCATTATATATATATATATTCATTACACTCCAACAGTGTATGTTACGAAAGCCAGCCTTCGTAGAAGGCGCCAGCTGAGTTGTGCTTGGCGAACGAAGTGAGTAGTTGCCCCGCAAAAGGTACACGTAAACTCGGCACATGCTGGGGGAGGAGGGTGGACGGATGGAAGGTTTTTCCAGGTTGTGTTGGAGGTGATTTTTGAGGGGTGGTGATGCAAGAAATGCAATTTGCATCACTTGCATCATCTGAATGGTAAGGGGTAGTTGGCACCTTGCCAGGTATAGATACCGAGGGTAGCTATAGTGCAGTTACCAGGTATAGTACTTCAAGCTCCCTTTCCGTCAACCGCTCGATGACCTTTACACACGCAAAATCACGCAAAGCAATCCACAGCTTTGAAGTCTCATTCTTGCATTGAACTTATATGGGTGTGTAAGAGGTATAGCAACATAGCATTTATACGGACCCAGGGTAGCTACAATTCTCTTGCCCGGTATCCCACTTCAATTTCCTTACCCTGGGTCCGCGCAACTCAGAGTATACCTGGCAACTGCCTTGTAGCTGCCCTGGGTCCGCGCGCGCGCGCCGCCTATCACAGGCAGCCGGGAGCCAGCAAGGCGCGCGCGCGTGGACCCAGGGTAGGGAAATTGAAGTGGGATACCTGGGAACAGAATTGTAGCTACCCTGGGTCCGTATAAATGCTATGTTGCTATACCTCTTACACACCTATATAAGTTCAAAGCACGAATGAGACGTCAAAGCTGTGATATGCTATGGATGTGTAAAGGATATCGAGCGGTTGACGGAAAGGGAACTGGAAGTAGAAGGGGGATTCGGGGGGGTGGCCTGAGAAAGCACACTCGAAAGTAAAAACGCTGGCTTTCATTTTGCAGTTTATCAGGTTCTTTACAGGATGTTCTGTATGATTTTGTTGGCACTTGTGCACTGCACTGCAAACGTTTTGGGCGCTTTTGTCCGACGATCCGACGTCACAGTGTTACTCCAGCCGCGGAGTGGTTCGGTCCCATGTGCGGTCCAGGTGACCAAACAATGTTCTTTATCAATTATTGTTGAAAAGGTTGCGCCAGTGCCAAGAAGCAGCCTTTTGTGAATGGTAAGGGTCCAGCGAGCAGGACGCTTCAGAATGGGAAAAAGACAGAGTCGAACTCTCCACACACCAAGATCCACCGAGTAGTTCTGTGCAAGTACCGAACACAACATGAGCCAGTCACTCCTTGTTTGCTCACTCCGCACCAACGCCAACACATATCCGTACATGTGTATGCTGTTTGTAGACTGCAGGATTGCTACCTCGCCGCACCGGGTGGTGGCGCAGGTATGAAGAAAGCCGAAGATGCTGGGGTGTCGCTGTCCGATGAAGCAATCCAGGCGTGACATGGGAAAAACAAAGGTGTTTTTGAACTGGCGAATTGGACAGTGGGCATTTTCTGCATCGAATTCAGTTGAGGACAGACCCTGCACATTGGCAGTTTACGGGAAAATTTGTTTTTTTGTCAGGTTCTCACTTTTTGTGCGCATGGACCCTCTCTTGAATGGAGTGCAGTTGGCCCCTACGCGGTGCGCCAAGTTTCTATATGCTATATAATATAATATAAATATATATAGAGCATGTGGCCCACGTGCCGTGTTGCAGATGGACCCGAACCGGATTTGTCCTTTATCATCGCTTGCAACAACGCCTGCTCTATGTAGCGGCACAGGCAGAACAAAGATCTCAAAAATGCTGCAATTGTATCTCTCATTTTGGCGTTGTAGAACCAAAGTTTGTGATCAAGCATATTCATTGCGCTCCCTCTCATTCACGACTACCCCTGGGCCTACGAGCAATGTAAGAAAGAACTGCATCCTTGCATCATGGATACTATTAATACCCAGACACTCCATGGGACTGGTATATTTCCAGAACGGGTGCTCCTGGGAGATGTTTTTCATGCAAAAAATGATACAAAAACACTGTGTTTTACAGTGATTTCTTGCAAAATCCTCTCCAAAATTGAGGTTTTGAGCTATTTTTTGAGCAATTTTGTGAGATCCAAGCCTATCCCAATTTAGAGGGAATACCAAAAAAACAAAAAAACAATAAACCAAAAAAACAAAAAAACAATGTTTGACACAAAATGCAGCCAACATCCAAAAACCAATAGTGACCCAATTTGTCTCATTTTTTTTTTTGGTTTATTGTTTTTTTTGTTTTTTTTTGTATTCCCTCTAAATTGGGATAGGCTTGGATCTCACAAAATTGCTTAAAAAATAGCTCAAAACCTCAATTTTGGAGAGGATTTTGCAAGAAATCACTGTAAAACACAGTGTTTTTGCTTCATTTAAGTTTAACGGTGGAATTTGATGTTAAATTGGATTTCAATTGATTTTGGTATTAGACTTCAATTAAACGCTTTCAGAATTATTGGTGGAAGTTGATGTATCATTAGCTTTCTATTAAAAATGTGTTTAAGATGAATTGTAGATTTTTTACAAACTAAGTTTCATTTATATCATTGTCAAAATCATTGGGGAAATTGATGTGTATATTAGATTTCAATTAACATTTCTTCAAGATTATAGAAAACTGAATGTGTAATTCAACTTCGATTAAATGCTTTTTCAAGATCATTGTGGCAATTGATTTTGAATTAGATTTCAATTAAAATCCTATTATATTTCATTGTATAAATTAGGGCATTACTTAAATGTCAATTAATGTCCTTTTCAAAATCATTGTGGAAATTGCTTGTTGTTTAGATTTTAATTTAAGGTCTTTTCAACATAATTTGATTGAATTGCTTGTGTATTGGATATCAATCAAGACCCTTTTAGAATTGATTGTGAAAATTAACTTTCAGTTAACAGTTAATGGTGGAAATCAATTCTTATAATTAGATGTTAGTTAAAGTCCTTTTTATTTGATGTAGCCTTGTAGTGGGGAGCAAACAGATACAAAATTAATTCAAGTTAGTTAAGCGTCACAATTTCCACAATTGATCTTAAATCGGCTTTAAACACAATCTGATACTAAATCAAAGCCACCACTAACTTTGAAAAGGACTTTGACTAAAATCTAATTGTAAGAACTAGTTTCCACAATGAGTTTTAAAGAGAACTTGGAAATGATTGTTATTGTAATCTAACATCAAATAAATAGCAAATTCCACCAATGTTAAAAGGATCTTGATTGAAATCTTCTAATTTAAGTTTGCCTAATTCTATTTTAGCTCCAGTTTAGTTAGTTTAAGAACACACATGTTACAAAACCCTATATTTTACAGTGTTTTTTGCCCTAGGAGTGCTGGGAATAAGACACAAACTATGTTTTTGAGTAGATAGTATTTGTTTAACGTAATCCCTTGGAATATTCATTGCTATATTAAAACTGCTTGATGTACAAACGTTTAATTCAAAAGGTTCCCTCTAGATCTGATCACTTCTGTGAAAAAATATAAAGCTTTCATTTCAAAAGCTTTCCTCTGGATCTCTGGAAATAGTCATGGTATTTTAAAAAAGCTATAAGTATGTATGTAAGTGTTTCTTTCAAATGCTTTCCTTCAATGAAAATACACAAATCTAGGAAATCTACTTTCCCAGAGATCCAGAGGAAAGCTATTGAATCTAGATATGTATAGTATTATATCTTCATTCGCTCATGATGCTACATTCATTGTGGGCAGAGAGAGATTCACCTGATAATATTTATCATTGGTGTTGCACATTGATAGTGGGCAGACGAAGAGCTGTTATTTGTTGTCATTGACATTGGACATGGAGACTGGGCACAGACAGATCAAAAAAATTGCGTTTCGCCTAGTTCTCAGAGCAGTTTTTGAAATTTTGCACGGTATTTACAGTGTTTTCTAAGGGTTTTGAGCTAGTGTGTGCTCTCCCAAGCACACCCACCCTCCAGAACGGGCTACATTGGGGTGGTGCCAGAGGGGTCAATTGATCGGCATACATGACAGACATCGGTCGTGTTTGGGAGAGTTCCCACCCCTCTTTCTGGCCCCGTACCTTGGCCCCGAGGCCCGCCAAGGTCACCCAGGCCCAAGAGATTAACCTTTTTGGGGGGAGGGGGCAGTTATCAGTGACCAAACAGTAGTAGATTGGATCTCCCCATCTCCCGATGTGACATGGCCGACTCGAAAGACGCTGAGATCTGGATGTCATGACTGCGCAGCACCCACAGATTCGTAGTGGGTCCTTGATCCGCATGCCGCAAGCCCCGGTGGCTCAAGATTGAACCTTTCTGATAAGTTACTGATAAGGGTCTCCCAAAATCATACAGTCACCACCAAACAAAGCGATTTGGGTCGGAAAGAAGGTGTTTATCAAGTCTTTGACATGACGGTTCCCAACGGTACAGCATCACCCAGTACCTTCGGTTCGTGACCTTTTTCAAGTCTCTAGGTGGTCTCTCTAGGGACTAAGATGGACTAAGTGACCTCAGCCACTGGGATCTCAAGTTTGGTCACTGTGAAGGTCCTAAACTTTGGTTGTTGATGAAATTTGGCTCTCGTGGTGCCTCGCGATGGGGATCATTTACAATGTTGAAACGGCATGTGTTTTAGTTTCCGCCAGGCTACCACTTGGTTTCAAGCGACATTTCTGTTAAGTTTGGATGCTCTTGGGCAGACTCTGGGTAATGTTAACATCTCATTAATAATAAAGGTCCCCCCCTATGATTCTTTTTCGGCGTAGTCAAAATTCCCAACCTCAATAATAAATTATCCAGAAAGGATTTGCGTTCATTCTGCATTCATTCTGTTGGCGCAATATTGCAAAATCATGGCGGGCCACAAAGCTCATTATTGTTGTAGCATATTTACAATTGATTCAGCAAGTGTTTTATCCATTTTGGGGTTTGGAAGTTGGCGTAAATAAACGTAGTATCGCAAAAAACCTGGCAGGCTCAAAAGCTAAATATTATTGACGCATAGTTTGTAGAGGACATATTAACATTACTTTTTTTGAACCTTTGCCGCAAAGAATTGGTCCTTGAAACGTGCCCCATTTACGCATGTACACCACATGGTATGCCGCCTTTGCGGTCTTTGGAGGGCTCTTCGTCTCCAACCTCGCTAGGCCTTGCTCACCATCCCTGCATCTCATGCCTCAGAGATCTTAGACGCGGTGGCCGAGAAGCATCAGGACCTGAGGGACCCTTCGAACTACGTCCCTTGGCCAACCCGAGAACTCGTGCCGACACGGGCGGGTCGAGTTCACGAGACGCGGCGAACTGCACGGACGACCAAGGTCATTGCAACCATCAACCGAGGAGCAGGGAAGAGGTTGAATGAGTCGAAGGAACATGAAAACAATGTTGGTCATTATTTGTATACTATATGATATATTATATATATATTTATAGCTCATAACTTTTAGCTAACAATCCTCACGTTGAAAGCCCAACTCCATAACTGTTCTCACACGTCCATCATTTTGCTTATATGGGTTCCAAGCCGTGTTTCCTTGTTGATGTTGAGATGGTTTCGCCTGGAAAAAAATGCTTGCATGGTTCGCATTAGACTTGACATGACTGCGACAAGTTCATGAACTTACTGTAAGTCAGACCGGTTGCATGGTGACATGGTGTGCCTGGAACGGGGCTGTACATGCTGTATGTATACAGACTTCTTAGAGAACTGGACGTTGTGTTTGGTGCTGCATGTGCCGCAAACGGCTTCCGAAATGAGTCACGGTTGTTCTATTCACGATTGGCTCCTCGGCAACTTGCCACTGTTGGACCCGTGAGGATACGTGCCAAGATCAGAAGGGGGAGGCGCAGGAAAAGGAGGCAAGAGCAGCAGAGGATCAGATGCTCCCCCTTGGACGAGATTTCATTCTGAAGCCCAAATTCTGAAGCCCAAGCGCCTCAAGCTAACTGTGAGAGTTCAATCCTTCATCACCCTTCCTGTTTGTTGCAGCAGTGCCATCAGATTGCTAGAGAAACTGAGAAACTAGCTCCCATGATGATATCTTGCTGGCATATACATCCGTCATTTGGCATCCCTTTTCATTCTATATATACCCCTCCCTAAAGCACAGAAAAGGAGGACATGTGCAAGTTGAGAAGCTGCAACTCCCAGAGGGGAGACTGCCCTCCTCGTGTTTGCCAGGGAAAGCTGCGGGTAATTTGTACGAAACCATCTATGGCTCCAAGGGTGGAGGCATGGAGATGCGTAGAGATGCGTAGAGCAATTGAGCGAGGTGTCCAGAAAAACACCAGGCTTCAGGGGGCGAGCACTCGCTTGTGCACTGGAAATTGTACTCGCTTGTGCACTGGCCACTTAGATGCTGGTTGTGCTAAGATACTGCCAGATAGAGTCTGATAGACTGATAGACACAGATTCCTGCTACTTACTTGCGGAATCACATATTCGATGCTGGTTCTGCTCGAAGAGAGGCCGCAAGAACCGTTGGGACAACCACCTGCCAAGCATTTTCCACTTGGCCACCTCTATCTAGCTTTGGAAAGTGGATGGCACAGGCAATCCTGCTGAAGCCTGCTTGAAGCTTTGCCAGTCTTTGCCTGTTGAAGGGTAGGTTTCTCCGATGCTCCATTGCGATCCGTTCGCTTCGGATCCGGTGCAGCACGAGGCAAGCAGCCGCACTTTGAGGATCACAGCAAACGCAGTTTCTTGGCGCTGACCAGATTTGGCGGTCGGGATTGTTAGTGAAAAGAACCAAGAACGTTGTAGCCAAAGAACTCAATTGAGCAATTCCAGGGTTACCATAGGTTACCAAATTTCAGCGAACGTGTCATTGGTTGTGAAGTTTAGCGATTCCAACGTATTCCTCCTGCTCAAGATCCCTCACATTGTGCGGACATTTCCTGACATGTCAATGTCAACCTCAGATGTCAGACCAAAAAACGGCAAAAACATGATATGATATTACGAAAGCCAGCCGATAGGCTAGGCTTGAGCTCTTAGACCGAACGAAGTGAGTAAAGGGGGTGTGGCGGGGGGTGGGCCGCGAGAAGGCACCGTTTGAGAGGGTGAACCCGGAGCTTGCCTGGGGAGAGCGCTCCAAAGCGAGGGTCAGAAAAGCACTTAAAATGGGATCTGGTGATGCGAGTGATGCAATGGACGCCGAGTAGTGCATCATTAGCATCACGAAGGGCTGTGGGAGAATGGGCATTGAGCACTGGAGTGGAGACAGGCACCCATGTACAGAGCAACCATCCTCGTCTCTAGTGTACCTGTACCGTCGAGCGGATGCTTCTCGCGGCGTCCACGTGCACCGAACGTTGTTCCGGCTTGGCCGCGCAGCTAGATAGTACAGAATGGATAGATAGATCGATAGATCACAGATAGATAGATAGAGCTGGCTTGATAGATAGATAGTGGAAGAAGCAGGGCAGTCTTGAAACCGTATCCCAGAGTGGCTGGTGCAGGAGTTTATCCACCAACCCTGGAAGTCCCATACTGACGTGTAAAACGCTTGGTTCAATAATGGCGGTACAGTAACAGCTGCGCGGCTATGTTCACAGTGGCAGTGGTGGCTCGACTTTTCGGGTCAATACAGTCAATGCACAGTTTGGCCATTGGCTGTTGTGGAACCACATGTGGCCGGTTCGAGCTTCGGAATCCTCGTTGCACGCACTTGCACAGGCAGCAGCAGTTCTGGGAACTCCCTGGGAACGGTGAGACACGTCAGCGTGCTCGCAAAGGTATGAGGCTAGTTGTGCACGAGCCTAACGCATGCACACCAAAAAACCTTGGACATCCTGCACCCCATCGCTTGAGTCAAGCTCTCAAAAGCAAGGATATCGACATGTCCTGGCCAAGCATGCACGACCGGGCAATTTACATTCGTTGTTGGACTTCAATTAAAGAAGCTATATCGATGGTATTGACTGGACCGGCCCTAGTCTATATAGTGGCTGGAGGCTTTGTGAGCGAACGAAGTGAGCACTTTTCTTGCGCCGGACGGGCTGCTGGGAACGGTGAGACACGTCAGCGTGCACGCAAAGGCATGAGGCTAGTTGGGTACGAACCTAAAGCATGCACACCAAAACCTTGGACATCCTGCACCCCATCGCTTGAGTCAAGCTCTCAAGGTTATAGTCACGGATCTATGCAATATTTTTTGGGTGACGGTTCGTGACACCAATGCTGAGGCATATAGTTCCTGCCATCCTCCTAGTCATCCTTTCAGAGGAGTCTGGTCGTTGGATGTATTGGTTATTGGTGCTAGTATGGTAGTTGGTTGGCAGCGGCAAGTTGCTATCAGAAAAGGACCCCGTGTAGATAGCAACTTCTCTGTGTTTTATGTCTTTGTGTTTTCTGACTTATGTCTCTATGTCTCTATGGTTCTGTGTCTCTATGTCTCTGGGAAGAGAGGTGTAGCCGCGACTTATGGTTATATTTTGGGCGGATCAGTGGCATAAGCGCAAGTAAAGTCCCCAACAGCACGAAGCGCCACTGAGAAAGTCTCTTCGCTGTCCAAGCCCTCCTCTGGAGCCTTGTCTGCTTTGGAAACTGCTCCGGAACCTTCTCCAGAACCTCCTCATGGACCTGCCCCGCAACCTTCTCACGAACCTTCTCTGGAACCTGCCCCGGAATCTTCTCCGGAACCTGCTCCGGAAACGTTTGCCGCGCCTCCTCCGGATCCGCTGCGGAACCTCGTCCGGAACCTGCTCCGAAGCTCGCTCTGAGTCTGCCCCGATCTGCCCCGAAGCCTTTCCTATGGCAGAAGACCCCTACGCTTCGCTGTTGGGGAATGATGGTTGCTTCAAAATGGAATGCTTGGATGTATTGGGGCCAGTATGGTAGCTGGTTGGCAGCGACGAGTGCCCATCAGAAAAGGGGCCCGTGTAGATAGCAACTTGGTGGGGATTGGTGTATCTTTTGGTAGCAGAGATTGCTGTTTGAGGATTGGTTATGGTCACGAATCTATGCAATATTTTTGGATGACGGTTGGTGACACCAATGCTGAGGCATATAGTTCCTGCCATCCTCCTAGTCATCCTTTCAGAGAAGTCTGCTTGGATGTCTTGGGGCAAGTATGCTAGTTGGTTGGCAGCGACAAGTTGCTCTCAGAAACGGAGCCCGTGTAGATAGCAACTTCTCTGTTTTTTAAGTCTCTGTGTTTTCTGACTCTATGTCTCTATGGTTCTGTGTCTCTATGTCTCTGGGACGAGAGGTGTAGCCGCGACTTATGGTTTTATGTTGGGCGGATCAGTGGCATAAACCCAAGTAAAGTCCCCAACAGCACTGACGTTTCTTTTTCCCGGATTCTCAAAGAGACCACCAAACAGGGACGCTCCGGAGAGCACCGCGCCAGGAAAATCGACAAAACCCAAAACATTCACCGTGCTCCGATCTTGATCTACTCCACGTTGATACAAGCTCCACAAAAGCTACAGGCATTCAACAATAAGTGCTCCGCTATTTTTTCTTCCCAGTCTTGCATTACCGTATTGGTCTCTCGCTGGCTTTCGTCCCCTCCTTTCTCAGGTACAATATATGAGGGGCCAATCAGACATACAATTTTTGGAGGGGTCAATCAGACAAACGTCAAGAATATATATGATGATGCTGGTGGTCACGCTCAGCGTTTGGCAAAGACACTTTGTTTGATCGCCACCTGAGAGGTCACAGCAGCGTCTTCAGTGGGCCAATCGGTGCTGGTGCTGGGGGCTACGGCAGCTACGGCGACTTGAACTTTCGAATTCGGGTTTCTGGAGCTGGACTAAGACTGGGCTTGCTATCGGCTATGTGGTGTGTTGGTTTCGGTGTCCTTGCTCACAACGTCCTTCCAAGAGAGATGTGCCCTCCGAAGAGCCAAGCCTCCAAGCTAGGTGAGCGCCGAGAGTCAGATCTCGCATACGAATAGTGCAGCATCCAAAGACACGCAAAGGGTTATTTTTGAACTCAGTCATTGCAAACCGATGTGACCTGTGGTGAAAGAATTGCAGATTGAAATTATACGCATATAGTTTATACCCAGACTCCGACTCAGACTCATTGAATTTATATAATATATATATAACGTTTGCAGTGTCCTCATCGGCACTGTAGGTAACAGCTATTCGGGCAGCTGGAGTGGTGGAGGCGGCGGCGGAGGAGGAGGAATGGGAGACCACTCAGTTTCGACTTCAGAGGCCTCGCAACATGCTACGTGGATTTGGATCTTTCGTGGATTGATGATGGCCAAGGCAACTTAATTGTGGCTGCTGAAACCATCTGCAACCAGAGAGTTGGCTATGCTAGCTGCAGCATGCCGTTAGTATGCTGAACTTGTGTGCCGTTCAATTGCACCGCATGGAATGCCTGGCTGCAATCCAGGACATCCGCATCCGACGCGTCGCAACACCAACCTGCTTCCCAACGATCTGTCGCGTGTCGAGTCGGCGGTTTTGGAGCTGAATGACCAGGAGGGGCTGCGAACGAGGGAAGCGGGCTGGCTGTGGTTGAGACACGGATGTGCTTGATTCAGTGATTTCATGTGTTTTTTTCTGCTTGGTCTTCGCTCGGATCTCCATTCTCATGAGAAGAGAAGGCGAGGATTGAGACTTAAAATGACTTCAACACCGTAGACGCGACTTCTTCGACTCTTCAGGATCTTTGGGCTGGGCAAGAGATCAATTGCGCCACTCTGTTGAGCTTGCGTCCGAAGCTGAGCCGGAGCCGCGGTTGGTGACTGGGAGAACACATGTGATGCCACACGGGTTTGGGTCAGCCATGGCTGACCGCAGTGAGCGTGGAGAGGTCAGTGGGGATGTTTTACAGGCATGCAGTATCATGCATATCATATTTGATGACCCGCTTCCGGTCCGGAATTGATTTGTTGCTTGAGGCTGCATTCCAGAGGACGATGCCATGGAGTTGCTCCAAAACCTTCAGGGCAAGGCACAGACTAGCAGTCATTTGTTAGGGTTGGCCTGATTCAGACAGAAGTTTGCGATGGGGTTCCACTAGCGACCATCCAACAAGAACCGGCAAACCGCCAAGTTCGACATGGGCAAGGTAGTGGCCAAATTCATGGTGAAGGATTTTGTCAGATGTTTCTTGACGGTGGCCCACTTGGCAGGGCATCAGCAAAGGAAGCAAGGGCATTGGCAACCTGAACAACTACATCCAGGCTCTGGACATGGCAGCAAAGCAACAAAGCGGTGGCAAACTGAAAAGCGCTCCAAGAGCAGGACACACTGACAATGATGAATTCCATAATTTCGACTTGATCTACTTCACGTGCGGCATGCGTTTTCTTTGGTCCAAGCATGGGGTTGGTCGAAACCATCGCTCCGAGGCAGCAGTGTCTAAGATTGCGAAAGAGGGAGGCGGGGGAGGCGGCAGCGGCGGCCACAATGGTAGCACTGGTGGGAGACTCAACAACGTAACCAAATCGACCTCCCTCATGCTGGGAGCAGCTGGGAGCAGAGCGAGACGGACCAACATGTTGTCACAGCCCATGTGGTCACCTTCCATGATCCAAACCTTCACATCCTTCACTAAGCTTGTTTTGTCAGACTGAAACTCCTTGGTGAAAGCATGTGCAACTAGCGCCCAGTTGAACATACCTGGTCGCCCTTTTCGACCGAGAACACGCTGCGTTCCTTTCGCGAAAGCGGACCGAGGTGGGAAAGGTAGCGGAAAGAACTACACCGGTAACCAAAGCAGACAGAAGGCCGGACCTCCATCTCTTTGGAGCGGGTTCTCTTCGTCGACTACTTCCCATATGCGCGGGAGCGATGCAGCATGGGAGTCGTCCCAAAGCCCATCATTTCATGGCACCATGGCACTATGGTACAATGTGTTTTGATTGATAGTAGGTGGCCTAAAACTTAGCCTAAAACCTCCATTCCTCGAAGCCTGCGCAAGGTTTCGTGCAAGGTTTGTTGGTACAAATTGCCAACGAACAAACAACAATTGAACAGAAACCTGAGATGCGCAAGGTTCGCCCAAGGCCGGCGCAAGCACGGATTTTGGGAAAGGGCTGGAAAGGGTATTAATTTTGGACAAGCACCCCTATACATCCCTGTGCACTCTACGGGGGCCATGGTCTTCTCTTTCACCACAGGCCCGATGGACCTCTGAAAATAGCACACTACCAGGATCTTCCCAGTGACCTTTTTGGAGTCCCTAGTACCTTTTGGAGTCCCTTTTTTTGGAGCCCAGGCGGTGCATCCAAGACGAGTCAGACGGTCTTTCCGGAGTCGGACCCGGGCCGTCCCGACGGCCGCCTTGCTTTTGGACAGGCCGAAGAGTTGGGCTTGATTTTGTCGGAGAGGAGCTATGAGACTTTAGCCCGGATGCCGCTCAGGAGCACCGGCTGCCGGTGACCAGTTTGGGGATGCTTGGGGGAGGGCAGTGGTTCCAAAGAGCTAGAAGCTGCACGTGTGTGTGTGTGTGTGTGCGCGCGCGTGCATTCTCGAATATATGGAGTGCACATGATTGCGCTATGTTTTTTTCTTGGTCGTTGATAGCTGAGCATTGAGGTTTTAACATGTTTTAACAGGCAGGAATAGCGCCATGCTTGCCACCGCCACCACCATTTTCTAACAGGCGTCTTTGTCAGCGAGCAATTGGAGAAAGAGTGAGACTATAAATATCAATAATAAAAAGATTATAGATATACGCACCACAATCACCACATGCTAAAGGATGTTCGATACTTGCACCATCATCATCCTATATACATCCTGATTGAGTTTATATACATCGCGCACATGACGGTCATGACGTCTCAGCCGTTCACGCCCGTGTTCAGCTCCGGTGGCGCTGTGTTCCGACCTGGCGAACAGGAAAGCGACGCGCTTGATCGAAGAGGCGGCTCAGCGACAGGCAGATGGAGAAGATGCGGACCACTACATTGACCGTGCCATGGTTGACCCGAGTTTCGTTGGTTGGGCGAGTGAGTCCGAACGCTCACCAGGCAGGTGGTGTACTTCACCTGGTGCTGTGGTGAAGTCCCCGGAGGGGAAGGACAGCGTGGAGCAGATGCCTTGAGGTTTCTTCGTTTGCGCCGGTGCATTACGTCCAATTATAGAGATGGATAGGGTTTGTCCTAATACCTGTAGCAGTCAGTAAACAATTATCATCATTTTTGAACAAGGCCACTGTTACAGGTAATAGGATAGACCCAAGAGATGGATTTGGTGACGGTGTTGGCCACACTGTGATTGTTGCAGACCCAGTAACAGAGGATGTTTCACTTGCCCGCTGTCACCACAGTGAGGCCAGAAGCTTTTGCCCATGATGTCAAGAATGTTGAGTTTCATAATAACCCTCACCACAGAAAACAAAGTGACCCCCCCCAAAAAGGCTCCGAACGTGTGCCCTGGATTGGAGATTGCTTCACAAGATAAATATCGATGAATGTCGCAGACGCAAGGTTTACACCAGTTTACACCCGGGTTTGGCTCAGTCGAGATGAATAGATGTCATACTTGTACCTGCCGAGGTGAGGCGCAGGAGGATGAGCCACATTCAAAGAGGGCTCGCGTGGAGTGAGTGGTCCAGAGAGGCCGCGACTGAGGCGTTCTGATAGAATTGTGGGTAAGCAATCGAGTTAGAGGATTCGGTGGAAAAAGAGGTACTGCTGATTCAGCTGATCAGTTTGGTTGCGATTTGTTACAAGATCCTCAGAAAACTCCTGCTCAGATTGCCACAAGGCAAGGTTTGATTACTAAACATTCTCTTTGGACCTGTATGCATGCCGCATACCTGATAATACTAAATTAATCCATGATTTTGGATGTATAGAAAACAATTAAACAGACATTACATGTACGTACAATTGCTTCTAGTACACTATTCAGAAATAACATCATAATAAGACATAGTCAATGTTAATATATTCAACATATGTTCAACCTGTTTTGCTATATGCATATATATATATTATATTATATATGTGTGTTGATTTGCATTTTTTCTGTGCCTTTCCACACCCGTGTTTTGCCCAAGGCCCGGCCCATTGAGCTCCTTCTGTGCGGCTTTACGACGTTGTGGACGTGGGGAAGGACCGGCACGAAAACCGGGGGGTGGCGACTCCCGACGCATCCTGCGGCAGGCCCATTTGCAAACTATTACTTGAAAGCGGAACATGAACATGATCAAACACGAACACGAAAGGGACGGCGATTTGGGGCTCCTGGCATCGCTACTAGGAGCAAGGACGCTTCTAGGGGCTCCCGGCCTTACTACTAGGAACAAGAAGCTATTGGAAACAGTGCAGATGGACGTCGATTTGGTGAAGTTCACGGTCTTTCGGGGAGTGGCCCGGGATCACAATCAGATCCTTTTTCTTTGCAGTATGTGTTGTTCAATCGCTATGATGGAGGAAGGTACATACTTGGGTATAATACAGTGTGGTGCATGGATGGTATGGCATATGGAGAAGGAACAAGAATCAGATGTCCAGTCGTTTCCGTACACCCAATCGGTCCGGGGCGTGAACTGCTACAGAAAGACCTGCTTTGAACCGGGCGGTCGAACGGTGACTCCTTCGCCATGTATTTCGTATTAGCTTGGTGACTCCGCTGAGAGCCCTCCGCGCGCCTGCTCCGCACGCCTGCTCCGCACCGCAGGATCAACCCGTCGACCTTTACCCAGCGAAGGTGATCGATCAGCAGCGGTGGACACCTCAGCCGGTGAGTGAGTTCGTCGTCGATCCATGTTTGTCGTTGAAACTTGGCGATGATGCGGTCCCTCATGCTTTCTCATGACCCCATTTGGGCCCATGGTGTGCCATGATCTTTGGGATTGATGCATTCATGATGTATATGGACTTCAAAGGCGCCAAGACCTTCTGGATCATTCTGATATATTCTGATGCTTTCTTGCTCCACCGGCCTATCCGCGCACTCAGGCGCCCCCTCGTGAAAGCACGCAAGCACGGCTGCACCGTCGCTCGACCGGCACTGGGTGTGGGGTCCGGGCGGAGCCACCGTCACTGGGCTCAACCGGTTGGAGCGACCGGTGCACCGAGGTGACCGACAGGACCGCATACGACGGCCAGATGCCAAGTGAACCGGGTTCATGGGTTCGACCGATGAGGAGTGCGATGGATTGCTAGACCTGAACAAAGAGTTGAGGATATGAGAATATAGGATAAACAATGGTAAATGAATGAGGGGGGTCATTGTGGAGTGTGTTGACGTCCAGATGCTGTTTGAGACCTTGTGCAGTGCTTAGCATTTCTTTGGGGTGTGTGAGACATATGTTCACATGTTTAAATGTTTGGAGATGGTTATAAATATATACTTTAAACATGAATGATCATGCAAGGTCGATCCGTTCCCTTCTGTGACCTTTTATATCCGCTTATCTAGATCGTGTGCTGACCTTCCTTTTCGGTTCCTTCGACGGAATCCGATCGCAGGTCCGCACCCCCAGTCTGGGACTTAGATCGGCCTTGATGGGTTAACCCATCAAAGCAGAAGAGATGATGCCTTCTCCATCTTCTCCTAGTCCTGCATGGTTGCAACCTGTCCCTGGGGACATTTCTATAAGCCCTGCTTCTTCATGTTTGAGACCTCACACTGCCTCAAAGCACTGCGGGTACTTTCTAGATCTACTTTGGACCATGCCTCAGAGTAACCCCTACACTACTGAAAGAAGGCACTTTTCAGCGCAGGACCGCATGGATTCTAGAATGGACTATTTGGGTGGTAAAGAGAAGGTTGTGATATGCTTCTAGACCGGGCACGCCATGTATCAAATGTGTATTTTCACCCTGAGGAGCATAGACACCGTGATCGAGAGCACCGACACTTGCGAGATGGCGGGGGAGCCGTTGGTTGTGATTCCCCCCTAGAGCTTGTTGCTGATGTTGGCGGGTTGCCCGCACTGAGAACTTGAGAACTAGACTTTGCGTTAGTTGCCAAGAGTTGACGCCCTCCTTCTTTAAAGTCTAAAAAGTGTCCCAACTGTTTACTGTATCTGTGCTGAATCCCATGAAGCTACCTTAGACTAGATAGCGATTAGATAGCCTGAGAGAGAGAGAGAGAGAGAGAGAGAGCAAGCTGCGGCCTTGTACGTTCAGGCTATGAGGCCCGACACCTAGGAACCGACCTGGCCGGCAGAAGATCAGTAGCTACCTCTTAGTTTGATGTCCTGCACTCATGTTGCTTGAAAAAATCGCTGTGTTCCCAAAGCCAAGTTCCACCCGTTGGGGAATGAAACGTTGTAGTCGGTTTGTTGTGCATCAGGTTAAGCATAATTGGCGGTACTAACACTTGTGTTGCTGACAGACATGTATACTGTATACTGTTGCATCCTTCTCACTGCCATTGTCCTCCCACAACTGCTAGCTCAATCCTAAGTTAAATCGCACATTTGTGAGATGTTTTCTCCTGCAACTGTTAGCTTAGCATTTGTGAGATTGATGTTTATGCTGGCGTTGTGAATGTCCATGGCCGAGGCTCAATTGCAAAGGATTTCATCCTGGGAACAAGCGCAAGCGTGTCAGCTTGGCATGTCTACAGGGCCTACGGCGTAGGGCCTACGGATTTGGTCCAGATGATCTATGCTTGTTTTGAAATGTTTTGAACAGAATATGCTCCCAGAGGTTCATTGTCCGAACTAGTCACGTTCAGTAGTTGGAACAACGCACGTCCGGCAAGTGGTATCATTGCACGCTGGCAGGGAGCCGTGCCCAAATGGCTGCGGAAGAGGCGTTACAGGAGCAGTCGTCGCGGTAGGGCATTTGGCCCCCTGGCATGTTCATGCGTATCTACCAATCAATCAATCAATCAATCAATCAATCAGAAGTTGGAAACATTGGCCCAAGTTTCTTTGTTTTTCGATCATGAATGTGTTCAATGCTCAACCTTTGACGTGAAAGAAAGTTCACCGTGCTCACCGGTTATGCACCAGCTGATTTTAGAAGCTGGTCCTGCAAGAAAGCTCAGTAGGTCGCACATGTTTGGTTTTATACAACTTGATTTTGACAGCTGCCAGTGAGTCTGACTCAGCATCTTGCTCATCACGAAATCTAGCACCAGCTAGCTGGAGTTGTCCTTGCTTTAGCAAGTGAGGGGCTGGAATCCTCGGGATCGCCGCATCACGTGAAAACTTCATATGTAGGGGGGGGCCCCCCCCGTGGGTTCAACTCTGGGACACCTCTCGGGCATCTCTTATGGCATCCACTTTGGCTTAACTCCTCCGGGATACGGTGCAACAGATTCAACAAGCTCACATGTTCATGACATCGACATCGATAGAAGAAACCAAACAAATCATGCAAGCAGCTTTGTTTTGCCTTTGGGACACCTCTTGGGCACCTCTTATGGCATCCACACTGGTTCAACTCCTCCGTGGAGGTTTTGGGATACGGTGCAACAGATTCAACAAGCTCACAGGTTCGTGAACACATCGGATGCATCGAACAGTGTGGCAAAGTCCAGCCACGCTTCCTTAATTATCGGCGACTTCAATTCTAAGGTTGGCTGTGTCATTGCTGTTTGTGTGTCTTACATGTTCACAACGTTTTACCTCATGACACATGAGCATTTGCCTCATTCCGCTTGATGTCCCACCAGTCCGGATGCACCCCTGCTAGCTTTCGTCACCTACCCTCGGCCTCAAGTCTTGATCCAGCACGGCTGCATCATGCATGGCTCAGGCCTCTCTCTCCCTCGGTCTTTGGAGGGTCTCCAATGACTAGGAACACCTGCAGCATTGGCCAATGTGGCCAATGCTGCTTGTCCATTCGCCGTTTGTCCATGCTCGGCACGGCGCCGGACCCAACGCAATGAGGCATGCTTATAAGGGGGAATCGATTAGTTGCCCTTTTTCATCGCTTTATGTGTTAGACAGTTGGACCGTTAGACCCTCCAAACCACCCTTTTAAAAGTCTCCATCAAAATGGAGGTAAGTAGCGATCAGATCAGCGCCCCAACCAAAGCCTTCCAAGATTCATCCAGATTCCCTTGCACCGTCAGGAAATCTTGGACCAGAGCCGTCTTGCACATTTGTTGTCGGAGCACGGAGCGCCCAGACCGGGACTTCCCGCCGTGCTGCCGTCGGAGTTCCCTGCGCACTCGGGAGCGGACGATCTTGGACCGAACATGCCCAGGCTGTCTTCGGCCACCGAATTTCACCATTTCTATATGGGGGATGGATTTTTCTCAGATGCTTCAAGCGTTTTTTCCGCATGTTTTGTTTTCTTTTTTTCTTCCTTTGATGTAGACTTGATGATGAGACAACCAACCGGAAAGAAAAACAGAACGATTTGACATCAACAGCCTACATAGTGAAGATTAATAGTTTTGACTTGTTCGGTGGAATGCACATGTTAACAGTTGCATATATGTTGAAGTCTAGCACCAGGCTGCTAGCCCCAAGTCCTTTGAAGCAAGAAGTAGAAAACAAAGATCCATATGACATGACCACCTTTTGTTCCAAGTCAGGCTCGTCGCTGGTTGGGTGGCATCATTCAACTGAAGCCTTTTTTGGTTGCAGAACGTTTGCCTTTGGCGGCTCGAGTCTCGGGACAACTTACACCGGGGGCCGAGTCCGGTGTCGTGGCGCCGGCTCAGCTGCTTCACTCAAGCTGCTCCCATCGACTCTCTCGCTTGGTCAGCACTTTCTTCGCTCTGGCCTTAGTGAGACAAGAAGATATCGTGAGAGTTTCTTAGACTTCCGACTGCGGCAGGAGATGGGCCCAAGGTGAAACTGCCCACTCTCATCCAGCACTTTCAGACCCGTGACCGAACCTCTTGTAGTACCTTCAGAACGTGTCTTTTTTCTTCCTGGTCTCGGCCAAAAGGGGAGAAGTACATCGGTCAGAATTTGTGAGTAATTATACAGGTTTGTTATGTGGCTTTCCCAGTTGCCTGTCCACGACGTCGCGCGAACAGGTGTCCAACATGGTGCTGCGGCTCTTGGCCTTCTCGTTGGCACTTGTAGGCGGATTCGCACCGTCTCCGATCTCCAGAGGTTGCAAAAGCTTTTGGACCATGTTGATCCATTTTGGGGCACAACCCACCTTCAGCTTGTGACCTCGGAGTCTCCAGTGCTTTGCGCGTCAATTCGACCAGGGCCCGATGGTCGGAGCGTCCTCGTTCGGTCACGAATTGGAGCTACTGAGCTCACCGGTGCGGCGGTGGTACTTAGTCGGTTCGACCCACCGGCGGTCACGAGTCACTTTCTTTGAACAGCTCATCTATGGGCTCATGTAGACATCAAGCTAGGCGCAGACCTTCTCCTGGACGATGAGTGTCGGGAAGGATCTTGTGCGCTGACGCTGGGCTTTGAAGATTTAGAGACTCTGTCAACGACTTTGCAATATGAAAGGATCTCGGATCACTGCTGCTTTTGGTTAAGAGAGATTATGATTTCACGGGTCTTGATGACTTTTTGTAGAATGTATATATTATATTATATAATGTATATATATATATATCTCTTTCTCCACTCTAGGAACCGGCGGGTGGGTTCGGATGCACCTTTGCATGCTTCAGGAACGCTTTGCAGCGCCGGACGAGCGGTCTAAGAGAAGAGGATGAGGACGGATGACTGCGTCAACATGTGGTTTCAAGGCACCGCACACGGTGATCTATTTCAGGTGTGGTCATGTGATCACTGTGGTCACGTGCACAGGGAGTTTGCATAATATATCATGTAATATATCGCATTAATTACAGTACATACTATTCATACTATGTCATAAATTGTAGTGTCGTGAATTCTCGGGATCCCACTTTTACAAAACATTGAGGCAGCTGCAATTTGCATCGAAAGCAGCACAGATAGGTATCACCCAAGGGGACAGGAGTACCGGGGCATGGACCAGCTTGGTGTAAGCATGCCTCCTTTTTGTTGAAATTCACCTCATCCCCATGGACCCCGTAGCGTTGACTCTCAAGGTAGAGCAAAAGGTAGCGCTTACCGGACTAGCAGGGTTAGCTAGGTAGTTAGTACTATTAGAGCTGATCCTGTAAAATACAGGTTATCAGCCGTAGGCTAGCTAGGTTAGAGCTATGGACCCAATGGATGACGACGTCCCACCGAATGCCTACGGAAGTGGCTTTGACATAGTTCCGAGTGTGCCCAATAGTTTGGATGCAGTTCAACGGCATGAACAGGCAGTTGCACAAGTGGCTGCAATGTATCCAAGGGTTGCTTCGGAGGTGTACCAAGAGATGCTAAATAGTGGTGGTAGTGTTACTCTTCAAGAGGCGGCACAAGCTACCCTAGCAGGTATGCCGTCAGCCACCGTAGCTGGTGCGCCAACAGTAAACAACTTGTTGGCAATGACTCGGCTCAACGTCGTCAACCTGAACGCATCGCCAAACGACGAAGAACTACGACGGGAGTTACAACAACATGAGTTTTTGCTCAGCGAACAAGCCAGGAGGGAAGCTGAAATCGAGGCATTGCGCTTCAGGAGTATTTACGAAAGAGAAGCTTCCGAATCTATAGCGGCAACAAAGGCTGCCGCAGAGCAGGCAATGTTGAATGTTCAACAAAGGGCCCAACAGCAGGAACAAAGTGTTCAGCAAATGGTCCAACAGCAAGACAATGTTGCAATCAAACGGTTGCAAGGTACATTGGAGGAGCAAAGGGAACATTTTCAGCAGCGGCTAGCTCAGGCGACAGCAGCTCATGAGAAAGTTGTACAGGAAAAGAATGCCATGGCGGAAGAAGGCAATGCTTTTGTTGACAAAATGAGAACTGAACATCACCAGTATGTTGAGCAACAGGAGGCTAAGCTGAAGGCAGCCGTAGAGGCAAAGGATCATGCAAGACATTCGTCTGCTGAAGAATCCCGGATCGCTATAGAACTTGACTTCAAACGAGAACAACTGGACAGTTCGTTGGCAATTGCACAGGCAAAGATCAAAACCCTCGTTAATGAAATGGAGGCTACAAATAAGCAACATAGAGTTGATCGGGAAACGCAAGAGCAAACTATAGTTGAGCTTCGCAAGGACAATGCAATGTTGAAGGGTGAAATGGATGAGCTCAGGCGTGTCGTACAGTCCTTGACAGACAGGGAAGAGGAACGCAAGGAAGCGGAGCGCAAAGCGCAATCCTCTAGCCCCGTTAAGCCAGGGCCGCAATACCCTGAGCCATTCACACCTCCTGCTCGACAAGATGCTCACCCAATTGGTCAACCGCAATCTTTTGAACCTCTACGCACGGAAGGCACTGTTCCAGCAACCTTAGACGGTAAGCCCCTTGATAAAGGTGGATCTCCTATAAAGACAGCTATGGATGCAACAGCGTCCGTGCGCAACACAGGATTCCCATCAATGTTCTCAGGGACAGGGGCGCCCGCAGCGGAACAGGCAACGGCCTCTACAGACAGGCAACAATTCAAACAACCGGATCCGTGGACGGAGTATATGAAGAAGTCAACACAATACAACTTCAGTGATGATCCTTTGTACAAAAGCTCCTTTAATCAGGAAGCAACAAAGACTAAGGATGATCGCAGAGAAGAAGGGCCGGCTTCTCAGGTAAGAACTCCACAAGACCAAGATTTGGGGGAAATCATCAAGAAGGCCTTGCTAGAAGGGTTTAAGGGCGCTAAAAGCAAAGACTCCGATAAGCCCAAGGCAAAGGAGGCTGACAAGATAGATCTCCCTGAATTCCCAAGTCCTGACAGGTACCGCACTTGGAGGGCCGCGGTTCGCGAAGCGATTCGGTCCGCATCCGATGACCCAGACGCTGCGTTCGCATGGGTGCTTGAGGTGTACGCCGTTCGCGAAGACAAAGCAAAGCTTTGTTCCGAATTGGCTGACCCAGGCAAGTTTCGGACCTTAGACACGAAACTACTTGCTGCTTTAACCAAGGTTGCCAAAGGTGAACTGTCTCAGCAAATCTTGAATTATAAGGAATCCGAGGCACAGCAAGGTAGGATCGTCCGCGGTCGTCAGGTTTTGCTCATGTTTGAAGTCCACTTCAAGACAAGTGAAGAAGCGGGTGCACTGTATGGCACTGAGGACCTCCTCAAGATCTCGCTTGATAGCGACGACTTGAAATCCTTTCTAAGGAAATGGGAGAGTGTTCTGACCGGAATGAGTCATGTCCCAGACCCGGCAACTCTCAAGGATTTGTTTTATAGAGAGGTTAGGAAGTCCCGCAAGCTCAGATTTGACCTTGATGTTTATGAACGAGCGCCGGAGGGAAGTAACGACAGAAGCTATGAATTTCTTATCAATTCTGTTCGACGTTACCTTGACAGGGAAAGGCTCAGGACCAATCGCGAAAAGATATCACAATCACACGCGGCAAAGTTCGCAAACCCGGCACCGCACGACAAGCGCACGCGAAGCCCAAGTTATGGCAAACGAAGCACAAAGGGTGACGGAAGCAATCAATGCTATGAGTATGCCAAAACTGGTAAGTGTAAGTACGGGAGCAAATGCAAGTACTCACACGACTCTAGCGCCCGTCCCCGCTCCCTTAGTCGGGAGTCGTCTCGTTCGCGTAGCGCAAGTCCGAGCAGCCGTTCATCGTTCAGGTCAAGCCGATCTCGAAGTTCGTCAAGACACACTTCCCGCTCCAGTTCAAGGAACTCATCAAGAAGCTCAAGTAGAGGGAGGAAATCTGACAAGCCATGCAGGTTCTTTGCAAAGGGTAACTGCAAAAGGGGTGACAAATGCCCGTTTAAACACGGAGACACTGCAACACCAGCCCCGCGCAGAAGGAGTCCCTCGCCCGCAGCTAAAAGGTCTAAGGACAAGAAATCCAAGAAGGACAAAAAGGACAAAAAGAGCAAACGGGAAAAGAAGGACAAAAGTCCAAAGGCCAGTCCATGTATTCAAACGGGTTTCGCAATGTCTTGCTTAGCAGTAACCGCAACTCGGACCCAAAAGAGTAAAGACTACTGGGAATTCTCTAAAGATGGCAATGAGTTGATTAGGCACCATTTGAAGCCTAGGCACAGGTCGTTTCTCCCAACACGTAAATCCTGTCCAGTTGAGTCATCTAGGTTGGAAGACCAGTTTACCATGGTAGTCACTGACTCAAAGGGAAAGAGTAGGACAATCAAGGGTAATTGGAAGAAACACCCAAACGCGAAACAGAAATTTGATTGGACTGGAAAGTCAATTTTCCGTGTTGTGCAAGAGAAGAGAATTCGTTTTGAATTAGAACCGGAGGTACACACCTTTCCTGTTTGGAAGGAAATGTACCGGCATGTAGTGAATAAGAGCAAGAAGCGGAACCTGTTCCGGACCACTGAGGAATGCCCAAAGTCCCGCGAGTGTGACACTAAGGACGCCATTTTGGCAGCGGAGTCACTTAGGCAGATGCTCGTTTCGATGGATACCGAGGAGCCTGCGTGTGATTTCCTTTGTGAACATTCCCCAGAAGGCCCCGATGATTTGTGCTGCACGAAGTGCAGAACAGTCGTCGGAGAACAGGTGCCGTCATGTGCTCGCTTAACAGCGATGCCAAATATGGTTGGTATGGAGAAGTGGCTGGGTGACACTGGCACTGACCAGGACATCGTAGGTAAGGACTCTAAGACAGTCAACAGGGCCACCAAGATATTCAAATCCAACGAACCAATCTCCCTTACTACTGCCAATGGACCTATCACTGCTGACGAAGTAGTAGAGGTGATCTTGCCAGGGTTATGTGAATCCTTCAACCCCTACATTCTCCAAAGTACTCCCTCTGCACTTTCAATTGGTTTGAGGTGCTTAGAACAGGGATATGATTTTGTTTGGGGAAAGGACACTACTCCCATATTTCTTCGACCTGATGGACAATGCGTTAAATTCAAATTGCAAGGTAGGGTTCCATATATTGATGAAACATGTACCCCATTCTCAATTCCTGAATCACTGAGGACTCGCCTTACTAAGGTACTCGATTCCATCCACCAGTTCACCATCGACCAGGGCTACGCCATGGCCAGCCATGAGTCCGAACCCGAGGAAGACCAAGAGGAGGCTGACGAAGCTGGCGTAGATGCCAATGCCGATGATGGACAGGAGGACGAAGAGGACAGTGACCCAGAAGTTGAGGTTCCTTTTGATTTTGAAGACGTTCCCGTGGCAGGGGAGAAGACCGAAGAGCAACTTCGAAAGGAAGCAAAATCAGGGGCGCATCAATTCACACATCGACCAAAGAATCCCTACTGCGATGTTTGTAGCGAAGCTAAAATGCTTGCTCCCTACGGTAGAAGCGTAGGCGGATCACAACATGTTTTGGCGCGTGGGTTTGGCGACCACATAGTGTGCGACGATGTTATTCCCAAAGATATTGAAGAAGGCATAGAAGGCCAAACGTCAATGTTGGTGATCAAAGATATTTATACTCAATACAGATGTGTTTACCCTTCTGAAAACAAGACTGCCGATTCTATTGTTAAGGCTTTCAAACATTTTCTGAAGACTTCTGATGTTGTTGGTATAGTGTACACCGACAATGCTCCAGAAATGCTGGATGCCATAGAAGAACTTGGTTTCAAACACCAGACTTCTGTTGAATATCAACATTCCACCAAAGCGGTTGTTGAGCGTGAAGTCCGCACCATTTTGGAAGGGGCG